TATATATATATGTGTGTGTGTGTGTGTGTGTGTATATATATATATAACACAAACAAATATATACACACTGATTTTACAACATGCCACATACAAATACACAAACATTACACACAGACAATCCTACCGACACATTACACAACCCCCCCACCCACCCACACACACACACACATAACACAACTCTACAGACACACATTGCAACCCCAACCCCCAACACACACAACTGTATATACACATATTACAACATGCTACTTACAAACACACGCACACATTACACAAGTACAACTATTGTGAAACAGGCCATACAAGTAAACTTTAATCAAATTACACAATACACACACAACCCTACAGGCATACATTACAACCCCAACACACACACACACAACTGTACATATAAACACACTGCTTTAACAACATGATACATACAAACACACAATACACAAACATTACACACAGACAATCCTACAGACACATTACACAACCTGTCTCTCTCACACACACACACACACACACACACACACACACACACACACACACACACACACACACACACACACACACACACACACACACACAGTATTGCTGTTACTGCTGCTGTCAGTGTGTTGCTATTTCGTGCCATAACGGCTGCTGTCTATGTGTGTGCGCGTGTCTTACGGTTGCTGTCAGTGTTGGCCTCTCTCAGCGCTTTCCTTGCTGATTTCTTGTCCTGAGTTTTGGAGCTGCTGGTCGCTTTCTTCCCTTTCTTCACCACCTCCCATTTGCCCACACCAGAGGCCATAATGTCCAACTCAAGCAGACAGACAATAATTAAAAATCAACAGTATTGATCGAATTAAACCAACGGTTCTTATGCCACGTCTGTTTGCCGTGAGAGGAACTGTTTCCTGTTTCCAGCGCGTCCACTCTGCGCTCTTCCGGCCAGATCAAGACGTTCACTGGAGATCAGTCGCTCTGGTAAATCTTTTTCCTTTTCATATATTTTTTTCAGTCAATCCCTGCCCATCAAAAACGATATGCGGTATTGATTATATATTATAGATATTATCGTCTAAAAAATGTGTTTTATATTAATGTAACAATCTTAATATTCGAGGAAACACTCTTGCTAGCCTGCTAAACTCCTCGAGAACTGTTCGGACCTGACCAATGAGAGGAGCCTCTGAGCATCACGTGACTCTGTGGTCCAGTAGAACAACAGGAGAGGCTCACAGTATGAAATGTTCTATGCTGAGCTTCTGCGCATGTGTACTTTTAAATGTGTTGATAAAAACTGCCTCTGCTTTCGGTTTCACGACATTATTTAAATCTAAATACGATGGCGACGAATTATGTTTGAAAAACTGCATTTCCTTTTGTATAACAAATATATTTGCACATAAATGTATATTATTTGCGATATTGTGTATATTCACATTCCTTGTTTAATGTATATTATTTTTAAACAATCCATACCGGGTAAAATCGATACACTTATTTTTGACAAACAGGGTATGTTTTTATATATAAATAGGTCGTTATTTATATTAAATATACTAGAAATAAAAACGACTATATGCAATACTAATTATATATTGATCAAATGGTTAGATATTTTTGTGTATTTCTATATTTTATGTACGTGTAATATACACACACGTATTATGTAAATAAAGGGTCTTACAGATGTGTTTAATCACAACTATCCGTTTAATAAATCTTGTTGTGATTTGTCCTATGTGTGGTAGAGGGCGGCAGAGAGCTTGTGTTCAGTTCTGATACAATGACCTACAAAGAGCGACTCAATGCCAGTCTGTGCCAACCTGCCCTGGCAGACCAGACACATTCACTTGCCTTAAAATGTATTTGCATAAATCTTCTAAAAGTTAATAAATAACATTAGGCATGTGATATATCAGATAATTCTCCAAACAGTGTAATAATACAGTAGAATCTGCTGTCAGAATATTTATTTACAGGTCACTGCATCAACATTCGTTACACTCAGCTTTTACAGGTTATTTTCTTTCAGCAATCTAAAACTACACAAAAATCAGAGCCAAATAAAATGATATGGGTAAAACTTTGTAAGTGCACAATTAAAATACTAAAATGGATCTATAAAGACGAACATTCAATTACTTTAAGACATAATAAACATGCCAAGACTGCCATTTTCTTATATTTTTACTCTTCAGATTATGTGTACAGTCATTCATTTTTTTTAAAGTTGTTGCACACTTTTCTTTTAGTATGATGGCATATTTTCAACTGATAGTGCATGTTAAACAGGGGGCGGAGTTTATTTTTTAGTGCCCCGCCTCTCATTCTCATGCAGCAAACTAACGATTAAAGGGGTGTGGCTAGGCATGTTTCCCATGACGTCATCAGAAAATAACTCAAAGCAGATTATGATTAAAGATGATTAAAATAGTTGTCTTTCAGTCGATTATTGATTATAACTTAATTGCACAGCTTAGGACTAACTTGGTGTTCTAGCAAAATAAACAGTGTATTTGTACGTTTTGACTTTAAAGTTAGCAATTAATCCATGCAAGTCAATCCACTGAAGAAGAAATAAAATAAGTTTTGGTAATCTTTCATTATTTTCATCTTTCCTCTTTTTTTTAGAGTAGTGCTGCGGTCACACTGGAGTTTGAGCATGCTAAATTCTGTCGTACAGCGCTGCGAAAAGGGGCGGGCTTAAAATGATCAGACATTTTAAAAAGCGAGTGATTGGTCTTTTTTTAAAATCTCTGTACAGAGAGGTCATGTTTTGATCATTGATTGGGCTCACGCAAACACGTGATGTGATTTCGCAGGTCAGAGTTCACCAAGCTCCAACTTTCCAACGCGGTGAACTGCGAAACTTGTCGTTTCCGGCCTGACACATTTGTGTGCGTATGAATGTAAGTCTATGGGGAGAAAAGCCCAGTGTGACCGCAGCCAAAGAGCTTAGAATGACCAAGAGGCGACACTCAAAAGAACGATCCATTGCAGCAACAACGCCCAGCAACAGCCCCGGATTCTGCCATTTTGGAGTGAAAGCGATCAGCTGTTCATTGGATCTTATTGGTGTCATGATGGCAAGCAGCTGCTTTGTTTTTTATTTATTTATTTAAAAATCGCATTAAAGCTGAGATAAAACCTGAAAGACGACAATACAGCACTTACTATGAGAATCATCAGCACGTTTAATAGTTTGTTTTACAGACTTATAATATTGGAGTTTTCATTCTAAAATGGCCACCGCGCCCTCTAGTGGCTGTTTCCCAAATTGCACTAGAGTGTCACCTCTTGGTAATTCCATCCGCTTGTTAAGTGTGACGTCACGCGAAGTGGCTTCCGGGTCCAAGCGCTCTATTCAACCGTATGGGGAGACTCATGAAATGGTAATAATAAACGTTTACAAAGCGATGTAATACTTTCGAAAATTACGATCGCAGTATATATGTAAATGCCTAATATCCGATGGCCAGAAAGTGATTAATTTTTTTATGAATTGCTAAAATGTTGGTATTTGTTATACAGCAAGCCCAGAGATTGTTGTGTACACTATGACTTTATATAAAATTAACTTTAATGTGTGACATGAATAAAACGTGATCATAAACTAATTATTTTTCAATTCAAATGAGTAGCGGCTTGGACCCGGAAACAGTATTACATACGACACCAACACATCACCACTTCACAAGCGGATGGTCTTTGCCACAGCTTAACAGTTAAAGGAGTGGATCATCAGAAAAGAACTCAGAAGCAGATCATGTGATGTATTATTTAGATTTTTATTTATTATTGTATGTATATATGTTTTTTTTCCTTTGGCAATACATTTGTAAGATTTTTCATGCCAATTAAGCAATTATTGAATTGATTAAAGATGATTAAAATAGGCCTGGATGTTTTTTTTCAAACAATTAATTTATTAATTAGAGCTTAACTGTACACCTTTAAACTAACAAAGTGTTCCAGCAAAATCAACATGGTATATTTGCACATTTTGACTTTAAAGTTAACAAATTATCAGTAAAAGTTAATAAAAAGTTAGTTTTGGTAAACTTTTATTAATTTCATCTTTCCTTTTTTTTTACAGAGTAATTTTGTTTCATGTTTGCTATTAAAATCCTAAATTATTATTATTTCTAATTAAGTAAAAAATCTGCATTTAACTCAAATGTAAACAATTAAAATAGCTTCTATTGCCTGTGCATACAGATTAATAGGGATTTTAATGCACTGTAAAAATGCTGGGCTCCACACAATTGATTTGTGTTGGGACAGCATGAAGGAACTAAGCTAACTAGTTTTTACAAACTTGGGTGGATTGAACATCAAATACATAAAAAAATAATCAAGAATAGCTGAAAGTAGCTTAAACAGTGAATGTATTTTTGCATGTATTCTTGGTCAAATAATTCAATAACAAAGTAGTTAAATTCATTTTTAGACATGGTACTTCATTTAAAAATTAAATAGTTTAGTAATTAGTTAATACACTGTAAAAATTAAATGACAAAAAGTAAAGACTTAACTTATTATTTAACTTATTTTGATAAGTTATCAGGTTTCAACAACATTTAAGTTATTCAAAGTTTAACTTCATATTTTAAATCAGTTTGATTGACGTAAGTTGAGATAATTCATTCATTCATTCATTCTCCTTCGGCTTTAGTCTCCATTTCAGAGGTCGCCACAGCGGAATGAACCACCAACTATTCAAGCATATGTTTTACGCAGTGGATACCCTTTCAGCTGCAACCCATTACTGGGAAACACCAATACACACTCTCACTCCGGCCAATTTAGTTTACCCAATTACCCTATAGCGCATGTGTTTGTACTGTGGGGGAAACCGGAGCACCTGGAGGAAACCCACGAAGAGTTAATTTGATTCAACTAAAAATAACGTAGAGAGGCAAGAACTGTTTTTACAGTGTAGTAACTATTGACTGTTTCTGATGTGACTTACCCAAACACTGGTACATTTTGACTGGTGTTGAATAAGCAGCAAACACACGTCCGTCATTCCCCGCACACATTTTTATTTTACATAGTAAAACTCCAAATGGATGCATGTTTGCGAACGTTCGCACAGCCGCCGAGACAGTGAAGAGCTCAACACACAGCTCTGTGCAATCAAATCAAAATATACCAGAGAATGAAATGTTAAATAAAACATAGCAGCTAGAAAACCGGTTTCATATCATCAGTCGAGTCACCATTACTAATGGCCAAGTCTGTTTTTTCTCTTTGCATTCAGTGTTAGTTGCTCTTTTTCCTTCTTTATAAATAAATAAAACTCTCACACCTGCACTATTAATAATGACTCATCAGCAAAACACACAGACTCAGAGTTCACGTGATGGAGAGTGTGTGTGTGTGTGTTTGCTCTGATTGTGAATGGAGAAGCAAACTGAACTCATTATTGAATTCATTAGTGAAGCTTCTAATGGACGCTCATTTCTGCCGATTAATCAATGTAAAAGGAGGTAAATAAAACTTTTCCAGCCTATTTTTCATCTCCCAATTTCAAGTTATAAGGTCATAATTGTAAGTTTGCATCTTGACATTATTAATTTCTTCCAGAGCTGCTTACATCTCGCGTTTCTCTTCCTAAAATGTAAGTTTACACTTCACAATTCAGATTTTTAGGGAAATATATTAAATAATAAAAATAATAATAATAATTAAAAAGGTAATAGCAAATTTTTCATTTCACAATTCAGACTTTTAACCCAAAATTGCAAGAAATAAAATAATGATTATATAATTGCATTATTAAAAATAAGTGCTAATTATGAAATAATGTTTATGCTGCATTTACGTTCAAGAAAAAAGTAGAAATTGAGATATATTTCATTGTTAAAAAACATTTGCATAACATTTTAGGGTTTTACCAGAATTAACAGAGTAAAAAAAGTAAAATTTTACTTCTTGTCAAGTTTATATCTCAAAATTCTGAGAAAAAAAGTCTGGTTAGACTTTATTTAAGGTGTCCTTGTTACACATTCATGGTATTTGCTGTAGTAATTACATTCAACTAACCCTAGACCATAATCTAACCATATAGTAAGTACACATAATTAATATTACTCAGTACTTAAATGAATATTTACACTTCAACAAAGACGCCTTAAATTAAAGTGTAACCAAAAGTCATTATTGCAAGAAAAAAGTCTGAATTGCAAGATTTAAACTCGCTTTTTTTATATCTGCGGCACAATAAAACTTCCAATAGTTATAATAATACACAATCTGCTTAATCCACTGCTACTAAAACCCTTCAAAAGTTGAGGGAGAACGTGATACGCAAATAAAAGTGACATAAGCATGAAGTGTAATAAATTAGCTAATTGGAGCCCAAATAATAAAAAAAAACAGTCAGTCAATAATAACCTCGGCTACATCAGTGTGTGTGTGTGTGTGTGTGTGTGTGTGTGTGAAAGTGACACTGCATCATCATGAGTTCAGTGCTGTCTTAAAAACACAACCAAAGCCAATCAAACGTCGGCTTCACTGCATGAATTCAAACCTTATTAGCATAGACATGCCCCCTATTCTATCTATTAGCCTGTTAAACCACGCCCCTCGAGTCTGCGGGTGGTGAAAAAGAGAAAAAGAAGAGATGAAATGGAGGAAGAGCAGGCAGAAAAGATGAAGAACGAAAGAGAGAAAGAGAGAGAGAGATTGGGGTGAAGTGAGGAGGAAAAGGAGGATCAGTATTCTTCCTGGTCTTGTGGCTGTTCGTCAATCTCTTCGTCCTCTGGAGGCGCAAAACCATCCTGAAAACAAAACACATTATTATTAAATCCTTTACTTGGCGCTGATATAACATATGAACTGTAATTAGTTACTAAAAGATAAACTAGTGACAAATTACATGATGAAATCTGTAGTCAGTAATATATTTTTTAGATTACACATTTACGGAAGTGTAATCAGATTACTTTTGGATTACATTTAGATTACTTTTACATTCATGGTAGTGTAATGTGATTATTATAGATTACATTTAGATTACTTTTGCATTTATAGTAGTGTAATTGAGTACTTCTGGATTACATTAGATTACTTTTGTATTTACAGTAGTATCATCGAGTATTTTAGATTACATTTAGATTACATTTGCATTCATTGTAATGTAATTTGAGTACTTTTGTATTACTATTAGATTACTTTTGCATTTATGGTAATGTAATCAGAGTACTTGTGGATTACATTTAGATTACTTTTGCATTTAGTGTAATTGAATATTTATGGATTACATTTAGATTACTTTTGCATTTATGGTAATGTAATCAGAGTACTTGTGGATTACATTTAGATTACTTTTGCATTTATGGTAATGTAATCAGAGTACTTGTGGATTACATTTAGATTACTTTTGCATTTATGGTAATGTAATCAGAGTACTTGTGGATTACATTTAGATTACTTTTGCATTTAGTGTAATTGAATATTTATGGATTACATTTAGATTACTTTTGCATTCATTGTAGTGCAGGCACGTGCACACATAGGGGTCACCCCGTGCAGTGCACATGCCCTTTTTAGTCTAGGATAGAAAGTGCCCTTCCCAAATGAACTGAGTAGTGTAATCTGAGTACTTTTGGATTACTTTAGAATACTTTTGTATTTACAGTAATGTAATAGAGTATTTTAGATTACAATTAGATTACTTTTGCATTTATGGTAATGTAATCTGAGTACTTTTGGATTACATTTAGATTACTTTTGCATTCATGGTAGTGGAATCTAAGTACTTTTGGATTACATTAGATAACTTTTGCATTTACAGTAGTGTAATCTGAGTATTTTAGATTACATTTAGATTACTTTTGCATTTATGGCAGTGTAATCTGAGTACTTTTGGATTACATTAGATTACTTCTGTATTTACAATAGTGTAATCTGAGTATTTTAGATTACATTTAGATTACTTCTCACTTTAGTCCCATATCTCCATTTTGTTTATATTGTGAAAGTTTAATAAACAAATGTGTAGTGTTTGTTGTTAGCATGTTTCACCTCTGTGGCGTAGAGGATGTCGATGATTTTTCCCAGGACGGGGTTACTGTCGCTCTCGTGCTCTTGGCAGATCAGCTCAATGTCTCTGAGTTTGCTGAAGTAAAAGTCTCGCTCTTTCTCCAAACCGTCCACCGTCAATTTCAGATCCATCAGCTGCACAAACAAAAACACAGCGGAAATTAACATCTACAGATTACAGTTTAAATTCAATTAATTTATTAATACGCGATTAAAAATGTACTTATTTAATAACATTTAGAGAACATTTTGAAGTAACATTTCTGATATTTACACACAGAAAACATTCAGAAGTAATCTTTTCACAATGTAATGTAAACGTGTACCTGTTGGTTGAGCTCCATGATCTCGGCGTCGCCTCCATTTCGTGATATTGGTGTGTTTCGTCGTATTCCAGTTGAGGGGGTGGAGCTTATGGCACGCTGGGGGGTGGGCATTGTTTTTGGTGCTGTCGGTGACGTCCGCTGGGGTCCTAGATATGTAACCAAAGTCATCAGCCAAACGAAGCACACCACCTCCCTCATCAGCCAATCACAACACACCGTCCCCCTCATCATCAGACAATCAAAACACACCACTTCCCTCATCAGCCAATTACAACACACCACCATCAGCCAATCAGAGCATAGACTCGTTAGTCAATCACAGCACATCACCTCTCTCATCAGCCTATTGCAGCATACCACCTCGCTTATCAGCCAATCTCAATCTATCACAACATACTGCCTCACTCATAGGCCAATTGCAAAGCAGCACCTCATTTATCAGCCAATCATAACGCACTACCTCATTCATTAGCCAATCACAGCACAAACCACATCATTCATCAGCCAATCACAACACAACATCTGACATATCAGCCAATCATAATGCAGAAGCTCTCTCGCAAGCCAATCATAAGTCTCAGATTCGTAGGCCAAAGCCCAGAGCCAGAACAAACACAAAACTGTTAGCATGAAAAGTCTTCAGGAAAAGAGACTTAAAGCAGAAACGACACACAGATGGGAAGGCATTGTGTGTGTTACCTGAGGATCTGGAGGGGCTCTTGGGTTTGTGGAAAAGGAAAACTTCACCTGGGTTTGGTGGAGGTGTGACGTCCTGACCCTGCCGCGCTAACTGAGGGTCGTACTCCTTCCCGTCGTAATTGGCGTCAAAAAACTTCTTAAACCACTGAACGAACTCAAAGTTGTCCTGAAACTTCCCTTTGACCAGCTTCTCCACTGGAATGATCTGAAACACAGTATCGCACAAATCAAAAGCAAGTCATTAATTACAAAAAATAAACAATTAAAATCAATCAAAAATATTATACAATTTTATTATACAAACATATTTATGTTTATTTTTTACATTTAGTTTTTATTCCATTTTTGCGATAATATATTGTAATAAATATATTTATTGTTATATATCTAGTTAAAAAGTTAAAACGGCAACGTTACCAAATTTTATTTATGTAGAAAAAATCATTTCTTTCCAACAAACAAAATTCAATAAAATTAAAATTAAATGAGATATTAGTGTAAATTAATTTTAATAATCAAAAAATAAACATATTTTTATTTTACAATCCAACTGCAATTGACAGAACAAATATATTTGTTATTTATTTACATTATTTAGATTGTTATTTATTTATTTATTATATTTACAAATACAGTGTACAGCATAATCAAGGACACCCTATTTTAAAAATTATTTTTATCAGTTAAATTATTTAAATTTGATCAATTTCTGAATATAGGCCCTATATTTTGGTGTCTTTGAACAAAACAGATTCATTTAACAGAGATATTTATTACAATAATATTTTAGTCACCAAAAATCCTTCGAAATATAAAGATTTAAATTCATGCTAAATATTGTATTTGTTATTTGTTTATTGTTTTTTGCTCCTTTTAAAATTCTTATTAAATATTTTTCCCTTAGATATGAATTTGGGCGTACTAATTTTTGGACCCCCTGATGAATGAATTAATTTTTGGACTGATTTCTTCAGTAATTTTGTTAGAATAGCTCCAGATTTGACTTCAGTACTGGCTAATCTAATGTCTATGCACAAATATAACATTGTAAAGCTTCCTGTAGAGAATATTAATTAAATGCTAGATTTGTGAGGGGTGCACTCATATATGCTGAGCACTGTGTGTCAATAATTGATATATGAGGTTGAAATCCTGAAAACGTCTCAGACCTTGTCCACGTTCATCCTCTTGAAGGCCGCCTGCAGCACTTTGAAGTTGTGGATGTACTCGTGCTCCAGCTTGGCCTGAAACTTCACCTTCTTGAGCAGAATACAGCCGGGAAACAGCATGTCCATGAACTGACAGTAGGCCACACCTGAAGAGTCATCATATTAGCATTTTAGCATTATTTTCAGTTTTTAAATTTAACCTACACCCCTTTCAGATCAGTTTGTAAATTCAGTGAATCATTTGCTCATTCTGAAAGGATGATTTGAATCAGTGAGTTGTTAACTGAAGACTCACTCTGAACGATTCTTTTTAAATCAGTGAGTTTTTTTTTTTGTACCAAAGACTCACTATGAACGAATCATTTAAATCAGTGAGTTGTTTACTTTAGACTTTTATCAGATCATTTGAATCAGTGAGTCATTTACTGAAGACTCAGAATGAAATATTTGAGTCAGTAAGTTGCTGACTGTAGACTCGCTCTTAGTGAATTATTTGATTCAGTGAGTTGTTTACTAAAGTCTCACACTGAATGAAATGTTAGAATCAACAAGTTCTTTACTGAAGACTCCCTCTGAATGGATCATTTGAATCAGTGAGTTGTTAACTCACTCTGAACAGATCATTTGAATCAGCGAGTCATTTACTGAAGACTCGTGACGCACCTGAGCACAGCTGCTCGATCTTGGTGTAGGTGAGCTGCAGAGAGTCGTTCACCCAGGCCAGCATATCATGTCTGCTCAGGTTCTCGATGGTCATCGATGTGGAGTAAACGTTTACCGCCATCCCACAACTGCACATGCACAGAAACACACAGTTAAACAGGGCAGATGTCATTCAGAACGCTCCAACATTAAAAAAAAAACACTGCAACATTAAAAAACATTTAACCTGTTCTGCAACAATGCACATTAGTCATTGAATTAAATTGTCTTTAATTGTTACTATTTTTATGATGACAATAAACAGGCAACATTATCAGAACGTTCTGTAAACATTCTGATAATGTTAACAGAAGTAATCTCGAAGCACTTTCTGGAACTATCTGAGTCTACATGATTCACGTAACGATTTATTATTTTGGACTTCTGGGTTGCAAATCTCCATCTCTCTATATATGGCTCTGGTTAAACCAAAGTCTAGAATACACAAGACGTGTCACTCATATAGTTCTGAATGATGGAAAGTGTAACAGTCAATATGGCGACTGAAGCCCCGCCTTCTAGCACAGGAGCCAATCACTGATCGATATAGACTGATGATTCTCCGGGGGAGGGGCTCAGACCAGACGTGTGTTTAGGACAGTTCCTGCAGCTTCATTATGAACTCTCTGTGCTCAGCAAACACACTGGAATCTCTCTGGTTAAATGTCCAACAGAAATGACTCCGAGCTAAATCAAATCCGTGTAAATCAAACACTCACCAAGACTGCTGTAGGATAAAAAAATATTTAATTTAAATTCACAAACAACTTAGACTCCTATAAAACGGAATTAAAATGCTTCAGTATTTCATAGATTCATTCACTTTCCTTTGGCTTTGTCCCTTTATTATCAGGGGTCATGACAGCAGAATTAAGCGCCAACTATTCCAACATATGTTTCCCTTCCAGCTGCAACCCAGTACTGGGAAACACCCATACAAACTCATTCACACACACTCATACACTATGGCCAATTTACTTCATCAATTCCCCTATAGCGCATGTGTTTGGACTGTGGGGGAAACCGCGCACCCAGAGGAAACCCACGCTAACATGGGGAGAACATGCAAACTCCACACAGAAACGCCAACCGGTTCAGCCGGGAGTTGAATCAGCAGCCTTCCTGCTATAAGGCCACAGTGCTAACCACTGAGCCATTTTGTAGTATTATTAAGTGTAGTTTGAAACTTTTTACAGTGATTAAAAGCAACATATTCACAACACGTTTAATGACATGTGCTGCTGCTGTCAGAGGTGTGTGTCTGTTCTTAGACTGCAGTAATGAGATTAAACTCAGCACGCACACACACACACACACACACACACACACACACACACACACACACACACACACACACACACACACACACACACACAGGTATTCTGCTTTAACTGTTCAAGACTGTAAATACGCACATAGGATTATCAGCCCCAAACACACACACTTTGACTGAAAACACTCATTACAGCAGTGCATTCATTAATTCTCGTTTGCTTATAAATACAGAAAATATCTTACAAACTATTACACATTGATAAACAGCAAAAGTGAGTTGATTTAACACTTTAAAGCTGCGAAAACGAGTTAAACCTTTGACCTTTACCCATAATTCTTTATGGCATTATGGTTATGATGACACATGACCGCTGATAACTGATGTCTCTTTCTAAAAGCCTTAGAGTACAGGTCCCAAACTTGCTTTTTTTTAAATAAAACATAAATATATTAAATTAAAATACACAGTTTAAATTTAAAACCAAAACAAAATAATTTTTAGCATTAATATTATTAAATCATGAAGACAAAATGATGCTAGGTGAATAAAACAATTACTACATAATGTAAACAGTCCGAGGGTAAAACTCTGATGAATTAATTTGGAAATTAACTAATTCATTCATTCATTCATTCATTTTCTTTCGGCTTAGTCCCTTAATTCATCAGTGGTCGACACAGTGGAATGAGCCGACTATTCCAGCATATGTTTCACACAGCTGATGCCCTTCCAGCTGCAACCCAGTACTGGGAAACAACCAGACACTCATTCACACACACACTCAAACACTACAGACAATTTAGCTTTGCCAATTCACCTATGCCACATGTCTTTAGACTGGTCCAGCCGGGACTTGAACCAACAACCTTCTTGCTGTGAGGCCACAATGCTAACCACTCAGCCACTGTGTTGGCCCGAAATTAACTGATATTAGTCCAAATTAAAAAGTTGTTTACCTGCTATTATTGTGATCATTAAGCGATATTAGAAAAGTGAAAATATTTTAAAAACTATTGATTAATTATTATTACACATTTCAAGTGATTTTATTAGTCAGCGACTCAATTCAAGTGATTTTAGCAGTTTTGCTGACAATAAAGGGCTATAAACTGTTTTAGGATTAAATAATTTCTGCATTAAAGAACTAAAATTTAACACTTATTTAACACCAATTTAACACACTAAACCCATTAGTACGATGTTATGAAGAGTAAAAAACACACATTCAAAAATTTCAGTCTCAACCAATGGCAAGAGTTTGGGGGGCGGGGCTATCTCTTCATCCAGCCAATCACAGATTTGGGAACCATTTTTATATCTGCAGCTCTTTCTGACACACAGCGTCTCAAACAAGAATGTTCGATCACACACTCACTGTTTAACTAGGTGACCCACTAACAGCCTGGCAACACACACACACACACATACACATACACACTCTCACACGCTATCAGACTCACACCTACACCACATACACACTCACTCATAAATACACACACACACACTTACTGTCTGTCATACATACACTCTCACATACACTCTCGCTCACACATACACAAACACTCTTTCTTTATCTCTTTCTCTCACTCACACACACACACACACACACACACACACACACACACACACACACACACACACACACACACAAGCACACACACACCGTCAGTAGGTGGACGTGTCTGTAGTGCTCTTGCTCTCCTCTGGGTATCTACTCCAGATCAGTGTCCTACAAGCAAACACACACAGAAACACAGATTATTAAACTATCACGCCTCAGATGAATGCTCAGTGTCTGATGTTTATGTGTTGTGGTCTGTAGCGGTGTAATAAGCAGGGTAAAGTACATCCAGCCAGTTGTTTCCGCAGAATAAACCCTTCAGTCTCCTATAACTGTGCTCTGCTTCACATCGGGCTGCTGATAAATCTGTCTGGCTTTATTCTGAGACAACAACCTGCCGGATCTACTTACTGTGCTATTAGCTGACATTAACACAGATGATTAAGTACCATAATAAATGTGTGGTTCATTGTTTGTTCATGCTAGTAAATACTCTGACTAACATTAGGGTCACCGTAAAAATATTCCCTTTATTCCAGAAGTCCTCACACAAACAGGTTTTCAGCCCGCTGGACAATGTGCTTACAGAAACAGAGTGTATGATGTGTGTGTGTGTGTGCGTGCATGCATGTTTGTGAGTTTATGTTTATATGTGTGTGTGTGCATGCATGAGTGTGTATGGGTGATCGAGCACGTAGGTGTTTGTTAGAGAGCAAGCAAGCAGATGTGTGTGTGTGAGATATAGTGAATGTGTGTGGTGTGATTTTGTGTGCATGGGTGTGTGTGTGATGTTTTGTGTGTTTATGTATTTATGTGTGTGCATCCATGAGTGTGTGAATGGTTGTGCATGCGTGTTTGTGAGAGAACGAGCAAGTGTGTGTGTGTGTGTACAGTTCCAGGTGAGTTATGGGTAAAAGCGTGACCGTCACACCGGTTTTGTCTTACAATCACTCCAGTCAGCCGCAGTCAGCATTATTTCCACACACACAATGGCTTTCCCATGAGTGTACATTCTTCTGTGAGTGCTGCAAAATGATTTATTTATTAATAATTACATAATTTATTACAATTTAATGCGACTTCTGCATCGAGGAAAGGCATTATATTCTAATGTAAATGTATTTATTTTTTTGAATTACTCCAGACATCTCCTGTTTGTTTCTTTCTACATTTATGGCCTGAGAAGCAGATTAAAGCTGTAACTGTAGTCATTTTGCGTTGCTTTTTTATGTTTAAATATTACATCATTTACTTTTAATTTAAAGCAATGTACATTAAATAAATGTACATTTAGTCTAGATTTTGATCTAATATTGATGTTTAACTTTATTTCAGAGTGTTTTCAATCATCAAAAAATAAATGTGTTTCAAATTGAAAAACAAAAACAGTTTGGACTGAATATTTTAATTTCATCCAGCCAATAGGCTTTAGTTTGCATCACAACAGTGAATCCTGATTGGTTACTGACACTGTCAGTCAGAGCAGTGGGAGGAGCTTATCGTTTGACTGAATTAAGCTGATGTCATCGACACTTCAGAGGAAAATCAGCTTGAAATCTCGACTTTAATCAATAGTTTTTGCAGGTGTGTGTGTGTGTGTGTGTATTACTGTAAAACACAACAGCGGTCCTGATGAGTGTGTGTGCTGTGGTGTGAATGAAGAGCTCACTGTAACACTGAGCCTGTGCTTTCTGCTGACCCGAGCTCTGCAAAACACACACTATGGAAATACTTGTGTGTGTGTGTGTGTGTGTGTGTGTGAGTGTGTGTATATGAGTCTGAGAATGATTGGTGAATGTGTGTGTGAGTCTGTGAATAAGTGTGTTCATTTGTTTGTGAGTCTGTGTATGTGTGTGTGTGATGGTGTTTGTGTGTGCATGACTAGTGTGTGTTTGAGTGCGAGTCTGTGAATGTGTTTGTGTGCAAGTCTGTGATTGAGAGAGTATGTGTGTGTGAGCAAGAAAAAGAGAATGAGAGTCTATGAATGTGTGTATGTAATTATGTTTGTGTGCAAGTCTGTGAATGAATGTGTGAGCGAGTGTGTGCAAAAGAGGAAGTGAGAGAGTCTGTGAATTTGTGTGTGTGTGATTCTGTGAATGAATGTGTGTGAGTAAAAGAAAGAAAGAAAGAAAGCATGTGTGGTGTGTGTGTATGAGCATGTGAGGCTATGTGTGTATGAGTTTGTCAGTGTGTGTGAGAAAATATCCGAGTGTGAGTCCATATGATTGTGTGCGTTTGTTTGTGTATGTCTATTTCCATGCATTACTGTGTGTGTGTGTTTGTATTTGTGTGTGTGGGAGTGACCTCACCCTGTGTGCTGATAACAGTGTGTGTTTACAGTGGTTGTGTTCATGAGGTCATTGTTATGGTTTTGTTTGTCTGTTTAAATATGTCTACACACACACACACACACACACACACACACACACACACACACACACACACACACACACACACACACTCTTCATGTTTCAGAGGTTTATCGAAGCGTCTCGTATCGTGTGGTATGTCTCAGGCCATTTGCTATGAATATCCCGCATTCTTTTCTGTGTGTGGGAACTCAGCGAATCAGTGTGTGTGTGTGTGTTTACTGTCTGCACAGCTTCCAAAGGCTTATTCCAGCTTCACCATTTATGAATGAATGAATAAGTTTATTTATTTTCCTAGTTTATTTTATTTTCCACTGTAGTTTGTATTTGATATTACGTGTATAATGTGGAGATTTATTATTTGCACTCATTTATCCTTTAAAGCTTTAACCTCATTTCACATTAAGCAGCATTCCTGAGATTTAAACACTGAACTGATGTGGTCATTCATACTTAACAAAAATATAAAGAGCTTAAAATAATAGAAACGACACTGGCACTCCTAGTATTTAAGCACTAAAATCAGCATAATAACATAATAATATAATTACAACAAATAAAACGGCTCATTCACGAGGCTGGATTAATCATAGGCTGAAAGGTTGTGTTATAAAATAAATATCAGAGCAAAAACTAAATGAAAATTAGACTATTAGATGGCCACACAGACAATTAATAAACTGTGCAGGGCTCAACAATAAGGACTGCCCGATGGCCCAGGGCCAGCGTGTGACATGCTCGGGACAGTAGACAGGATCATTATCAGGCCACTGCTGCCTTGTCATTAAAGTTTATTTGCCTGTGACTATTTGTCAATTGCGCGCAAATAAAGTCTGAAGGCTGATTTACACTTCTGCTTCAAGCGCATGCGTATGCTACGGCGCAGCCTACGCGTTGACGCATAGCCCTACGTCATGGCCGTTGACGTCGTTTGCACTAGCACTTCTCAAAAAATGTAACTACACGTCATAACAACGCGTAGCGCAAGCTCTGTAATGAGTCAGCTTGGTAGCGCTGACGAGTCAGGACAGGACCGAGAGCTGTGCGAGCTCGATGGAGCGATTGTTTACAAGTGTGGAGTCTCGTAAAAGAGCTCCGGATGGAAAGTTTTGTTTTGTGTTTACCTCATGGCTAAAGTTGTTCCACATCCGCCGGTTCCTGCCTCAAAATGAGCAGATTTGAGCCACTTGTACATCCAAGAAGCGTTCAGAAAAAAACAAACACCAGCGAAGAAACTCGAGACAGAGGAACATAAACACCTCACTGCCAACTAGCAATACGGAAGTGTTAATGCACAACAAAAACAGAGCGCAGAAGTATAAATGCACAGCTACGCGCGTTGCATGCGCCGTGGGTCACGCAGATCACTTGACGTAGAAGTATAAACCAGGCTTTAGAAACGAGAAACAGTTTGTGTTTTTAAGCCTTCAATTATTATCTTCTCGGTTCCTCTTTTCTGATTGGATGTTGTGAGCACGTTTTTTTTTCGTAACAACCAGTACAGCGAAAAGACGGCAACATTAAATGATGATGCTAAAGAAAACGTTTGTTTCTAATGTCTTGGAAGCAGACATTTACAAGGGTACACCACGACTCAAAATATGAAGTGCTGTTTTGTAGTTTGCCGTCAGTTTGGCAGCTCAGCCACCTGTTGTTTTGCAATAAAATACCTGCATGTTTTGCTACTTTTGTTTGCATAACACTTTGAATTTTGCTCATTATACATTTATTAAACGTTTAAATTCTAGATTTACAAACATTTTGACATGTTTCTTTTTTAAATGTGTGGCTAAGACATAGCTATTAACTTTTTTTTTTTGGTGGGGCCAGTGGAAATATTGGCAGGGCAAGTAAAATCTGAACCACTGGTCCGATCGGGCCAGTAGAAAAAGTCCTTAGCATTAAACCCTGCTGTCTGTGTATATAAAACATAAGACCTAACGATCATACACACACAGCTTACTGTTTCAAGTGTACAACAGTCAATATTATTATTATTAGTAGTAGTAGTAGTAATTAGGGCTGAACAATATATTGTTTGAGCATCAATATCGCAATTTGTGTATCCGCAATAGTCACATTCCTGGATTAGATTATTAACTAAATATTAAGATATAAGGATATTATTTCTATCTTATTGTGTACAATTATTTCTACATGATGATGAGCATGTCATTTTGTTTGATTGCTTAACTTTTGTATTTGAACAGTGTTGGACCGTAAAGCACTGCATATTTCACTTTTATCTTTGCTCTGTTATAATTATACATAAATGTAATTTAATATTTTTTATGCAGATCATTTCACTAGAGCTGAATTTTTTAAATATTTCCAAATAGAGCTATTCAATTCACCTGTTGTAATTATAATCAAATTTATTGCAGCAAAACGAAATATCCCAATGTGAGATTTTTTCAATATCATGCAGCTCTAGTAGTAGTAATAATAATAAATAATTAAATATGAATGTTTATCATTTCTCTAAATATTTTATTTAGTTTCAGAAAACAATGCACATTCAGAAGACACTAATTCTTCTGACGCTCTTTATAAATACGACACTATAAATAATAATAATACGAATACATGTTGGTAAATGCGTCACTGATGCACACAGGACACCTCTTCACGTGTGTGTCTAATGTATCGCAATATGCACTACACTATAACATGACTATAATAATCTAATGTTTGAGCGCTGGGTCGGTCAGAGGGCCGGTGACGTCAGGGGCCGGTGCGCGTCTCTGCGGCCGCGAGCGCTCACTTACAGCGGGACAAACACTGAACTGCGCTGGATCTCAGAAAACAACAACAATAATTCAGCCGCTAAACGCGAATTAAATATAAAGAAAGCGTATGTGGGACACGCGTGTCTACGCGAGTGTGCGTGTGTGTGTAAAGGGCCTCAGCGGACTGACGCGACTCTGACTGGAAAAACACTGACGCTCTTATTCACGAGCTCACAGCCTTCAGCACTGCAGACCCTTCACACACTCTTACTGTGGTAAATGAGCGGTTTTACTCACGGTTGTGGTAAATCTGTCCCGTGTCTCTGCGGTGTGGATCAGTGCGCAGTCTCTCTCGTAATCAGCGTCTCTGGATACGCAGCGCGCAACACGCGCACCCTCCTGAGCGCGCCCCGGCAGCGCGCATGCGTCACAGGGAAACGTGCGCGCGCACTGGAATGCGTACAGTGAAGTACAGAAGCAGAAACACAGATAGACAGATAGATAGATAGATAGATAGATAGATAGATAGATAGATAGATAGATAGATAGACAGACAGACAGACAGACAGACAGACAGACAGACAGACAGACAGACAGACAGACAGATAGATAGATAGATAGATAGATAGATAGATAGATAGATAGATAGATAGATAGATAGATAGACAGACAGACAGAAGAAAATAACTGCAAATAAAATATAAATAATAGTAATCGTAAATAAACAAATATATTGTCAGCCTACACCTGAAGACAATACAGCTTTATTTTCCGACTTTTCCTCGCTGTTTTCAGTCAAATCTCAAGGCGTATTATAATTTAAATATAAAAATATATATTTCAATCAAATCACAATTTGTTTTAGCTTCAGCTTGACTGTTTTTCTAATTTCAGCTAAGTGTATTTTAGCTCAATATATCAATAAAGCTGACATATTAATTACAAAATTAAATTATACATAATTTTTTTTTTACAAAATATAAATATACAACTTAAAAAATAAGGAAAATTTAGACACAAATGTGAAATGTCTTGCAAGAATAATGATTACAAAAATATAAACTAAAGCATAATTGTCTTATTTTGATTATACAAATTTCCTGAAAAGTATATGCATGCATATTATGCACATTTTAATATGCATATGAAAAAAATTATATATATATATACACACAAGCATGCATAAATAAAGAAGCGTTTCTTTAAGGAGTTTTTAAATTTTATTTTTGCACTTGATAAAACAAGCCTTCACTTTCAGGACTGACTAATTCCAACAGCAGGTCCAACAACACAAAAATACAAACCGATTCACAAAGTGCTTTGTTTTTCCTGAAAAACACCAAAACCATACAAATCAAGACCGGCAATGAACAACTGCTCATTTAAAAAACAGCACCAATAAAACCAGCCCTACTGGAGGAGCTCATGCTTGGATCAGGACACAAAACAGGAACAATAACACACAATTTACCAATAATAATGAACACAAACGAGACTCTACACACGAGATGAGCGTAAATCTGAGTTTCAGTGAACATGTGCAGCTCAATAAACTGCTGATTAAACAGGGAACGTTCACACATGGTTGTTTTAACGTTATGATCTTGTAATAATATTAATAGAGGACTTGCTCAAAGTTATCCCTTCTCAGAATGTTATTTATATTCAGAATATTCTGAAATGCTCCTCTTATAACTTAGTGGTAATGTTTATCGAATAGATTTGTAGTTGAGCAATAATTCATTTGTAAGTGGAATATGTTAGTGTTGGAATAAACGCAGATCAGCCTGTTAACATTAATAAAATCAATCACTTTAGATATTTCATTACTATACAATCAAGACAAACAACAAACTATATATATATATTTGAGTGTGTGTAAAAGACATATATGTAAAATCTGTCACAGACACTGTTTTCATATAAGGGCTTCATCACTATAAACACAATCACTAACATCAGTGTGTGTGGATTTCAATAAAATATATGACTGGCTCAGAAACTATGGAAACACGATTTAAATCACTCAGACAATACTTGCTTTCATCCTCTCATCTCTCTTTTGGCAAACATTATTAACAGTGATCTGGAGAAGAACGACCCGACTGATTGGATAAACATCTGAAGAACGCTTGGACACATTTTAATTTTACTATTAAAATAACACAGAAGTTTAAAGGGGGCCTATTATGCAAAAATCACTCTTATAAGGGGTTAAAACCCAGCAGTGTGTGAATATATCCAGCCTCTAATGGTCAACATGAATTAACCCTATATTTTATAATCAGACTTGATGAAAACAGTCTGCAGAAACACTTTGATTGATATTCGCCATTTGTACTACGTGTCATCAGAGGGGGAAAGCCCCGCCCACTAGTGCCCATCTCTCTCTCTCATTAGCATAAACAGCCCTGAGTGAGAAGAAGCTGTCTATCCATTAGAGCTTCTTTACATTTTCACAAAGGCAACATTAGTCGAGTTTTAAAGCTGTCACTATGCTGATGCACAGGCATTTGTAGCTCCGCCCTCTTTCAAGAAGACCACAATCTCATTTGAATTTAAAGCGACAGCCCCCAAAATGGCACAATTAGGATCAAAGTTTTAAAGTAGGGTCAGTTTCAGAGAGTTAGAAAACATTATTAGTGGGCTATTTCGAGCTGAAACTTCACACACTAGAGACATCAGAGTCTTACTTTACAGCTTGTAAATAAAACATAATAGGTCCCTTTTAAAGGTGATGTTGGCAACATGAAACACTGTCGTATTTGGCAATAGTGATACCTTTCAGATGTGTCCAAACGCTGCTCTGCTACCTCTCTCTCGCTGTAATGTGGCACAGTTTTCAGCTTTTGGCACTTTGGATGCGACTCTGATTGTGATTTTCTCCACTTCATACATTTAGTATCTTCAAGCACACAAGGACAGGGACATACAGGAGTCGCCATTGAGACCAACTCCAGATCTTCACCAGATTCCACTGGAGCGTCCGCCGGGAGGAGCCAGGATTCGGGCTGAGGACCTTTTGGGAATGTGGTCGTCCACCTGAGCGCCTGCGAAGACAATACAGCAGAAACTCAGCATAACCTAACACTAGCTACACTGTAAATAAAGATCTGTTAATGAACAGGTTCTGTATTTAGTGATACTCAAGTGTTTTCTGTTTATTTATGGCTGTGAATTGCATTATAGGATGTTGATCTCTGCCAAAGACTATAGAATACACAAAACTTGTCACTGAAATAGTTTTGAATGGGGAAAAGTGTAACATCAATATGGCGAATGCAACCCTGAATACTAGTACAGGAGCCAAGCAGCGATCGCTATAGACTGACGTTTCTCCGTCGGAGATGCACAGACCAGATGTGTTTATAAGTTATACGGATTTTGTGGTCAAACGCACTGAAATCTTAGCGAATATATACAAATAAAGCTTGAAATCTCTTTTAAATGAACCAACTACACTTGAAAAACAATCGTTTTTTTGGTTTTCTGTATGAAACAAACACAACATATAGTCCATCCTGTCAAAAGCACATCACACGACAGAAACTACCCAAATGTGCACAAACAAGGAGTTGCTGTAATTTCTGCAGGAAGTACTTCAGAAGAGCAGCACGATCAGAAGATCATTATTCAGAGGATGATCATGTGTAGAAGGGCCATAAATGAGGTTGGTGTCGTGACCTTGTTCTCTTCGACATTTAGAAACAAAACTGAGACGGTTGTTGTTTAATTGTATTGGTGCTTCCTAATGTGTACAGTAATGCTAAGCTTGGCAAACAGTTTTGGAGAATTTGATGTTTCCCCATTCAGACAGTATGTCCAAGCATACCGCCCGAGAGGCGTTTCAAAGATGGCTGCTGAGTGAAATGACCTGCCTTAAAGGGACTTTGGAAGCGTCCGAAATCACCTACCTAGTAGGTACTGCATTTGAATTTAAATGTACTACTCAGCTGTCAGAAAAGTATATTCTATACAGTATGAATGTGAACAGTATGAAATGAACTCGGACGTACTACATCCCCCATTTTGTTATCACGTCACCGACCCGGGTCATTTGCACTGCTTTACTCCCTTGAATCATGAGATAGAAAAGCATGCATCGAATGCAATTTCAGATGCAGCATTTGTCTCTGCTCTTGATGTTGAATAATGAATATTCAACAGTTTGAGTGACTTTTATTGGACAAAAGCAAGCCCCGCCCACATCAGTTTATCCTCTATTGATAGTTTTCACGTCGTCACACCATCAGGGGAATAGAACATAACTATCTCCTGCTGACCACCAAGTCACAAGCTGAATAATGTGTCCTTTTTTAGCCAAAAAAAAGATAATTATTGCGCAGTAAGGTACATCATTACTAACCGACGAGACACACGTCTGCTGTGCTACTATAGAAATCCCTCATAGAAAAATGTATAGATTTGTACGTCAATATTTGTCTACAATTTCTATTGTAATTTGCAGGTTATGTGCAATTAAAGTACAAACTGAAATGCAAAGTCAAAGAACAGTAAACAGCAGAAGTGAACAAAAAGATTTCCCTACCAGCAGATTTTAATCTAAGCAAAAGAAACCGACAGTGAATATAAAAGCAGACACTTACATACTATAACACCATCAACAACTGACTAAATTGCTGAGGAGCATACACAAGATAGATTTAAAAACAAATGAATAAATAAATAAATAAATAAATAAAATATCCAAATTGGAGCCCTCACAGGACATGACAGGTTTCATTCATTCATTTTCCTTCAGCTTAGTCTCCATTTCAGAGGATGCTACAGTGGAATGAACCGCCAACTAATCCAGCATCTGTTTTACACAGTGGATGCCCTTCCAGCTGCAACGCAGTATTGGGAAACACCCATACACACTCATTCACACACACACACACACGCACACACTCATACAGTATGGCCAATTTAGTTTATTAATTCCCCTATAGCGCATGTGTTTGGACTGTGGGGGAAACCGGAGCACCCGGAGGAAACCCACACCATCATGGGGAGAACATGCAAACTCCACACAGAAACGCCAACTGACCCAGCTGGGACTGGAACCAGCAACCTTCTTGCTTTAAGTAGACAGTGCTAACCACTAAGCCACCGTGACAGGTTTAAATGACTGAAAAAAAAGCAGCGGGTGCAGAATATATAGAGCGAAAGTGCCCACAATTCACAGCTTGTGATCATATCCCTTGTTTTGTTCTGTTGATATGTGATCCAAATATTCATAGCTTGAAACAGATGGAAATATGAGCGTATTGGGCTGCATTCCTATGGAGATCCCATTGTATTTTTTTCGCCTGACAGCCTCCGTACAAGTCATGTGACTGAAAACTATCAATAAGCAGATTGACAGATGCACACCTGACAGGCTGAAGCTGGACTCGTGCAGGTCTCGTATGCCAGTGTGTCTGGCGGCGGTGGCGGCGGTCCGCATGGGAACGTCACCCTCTGGAGAGCCCGATTCCTTCCTAATCGAGCTCATAACGGAGGCGACGTCGCCCGAATATGGAGCTCGATCCACACCACGCACAGCCAGCGTCTGGGGATTCACTCAGCATTAACATCATGATGACAGTGTGAGAATCAGATTGCAGATCGTGTAAAATTTGTAGTCATTTAAAGACTTATGTACAAATGACAATGTAACTGGAGTACTTCTGGATTACATTTAGATTACTTTTGTGCTAACAATTATTTGCTGCTACATATTTATGGTATGGTAAACATTTACGGTGATGTAATTAGAGTACTTTTGGATTACATTTAGATTACTTTTGTGCTAACACTTATTTGATGTTGCATATGTACGGTAGATATTTACAGTGAGGTAATTACATAATATATCGGAGATAATAATGGTAAAGTAATTAGAGTACTTTTGGATTACATTTGGATTACACTTATGCTAACACTTATTTGATGTAAGATGTGTATGGTATCTCATGATAATATATCTGAGACATTCATGGTGATGTAATTAGAGTATTTTTGGATTACATTTACATTACTTTTGTGCTAACATTTATATGATGCCACATATGTATGGTAATGTATCGTAAACATTTATGCTAATGTTATCAGAGTACTTATGTGAAATCAGAGTATTGGTGTCCATGTCATTGTACTTAACGGTTAGTGCATTAACGGAGTCACCTTTTCTCTCTGAATCAGCTTCTTATAGAGGAAATCTGGAAATGCTCTCATCGGGTAGAACTTTCCGGATCCCTGAGCACACATGAAGACGCCGTTTTCACACACCAGACGCCCGCGGCTGATGGTCACCAATGGGACGCCGTGACACCGCTGGCCCTCAAACAGGTTGAAGTCTCCACCCTGAGCCTGAGTGCTTGCTGAAATCGTCCTGTTAAAATGTGTATGCTGATAAATACATATGACACTCATATATGTTGAGCACTGTATATGTCTCAGTACACAAATACCCAATAAAAGTCTTTTAAAAGGTACTGGAGTGCATTTTACGAGAAAACACTTACGTCTTTACACATTTTACAAGTCATGTTTAATTCAAAGCTGTTGCTTTTATTAAGTTTTATTAAGTATGTAATGATATTAAGTAAACTACATTAAACTGTGCTTTTCCAAATACGGTTATTATCATCTTGTACCGTGTGGCGTCTGGATCCCACACAACCACATCCGCATCGGCTCCTGGCATTATACGGCCCTTGCGTGGATAGAGGTTATAGATTTTAGCAGCGTTTGAGCTCGTCACCGCCACAAAACGATTCTCATCCATCTTCCCACTGACCTAAAAACATAAAGACACATCTGTCAGACTACGAGCCAGGGAAAACATTCTGGAAATGTTCTCTAAATGTTCTCCCAGTAACGTTAACAGAATGTCCATTCAAAAGCGATGTGTGTAGTCTTTGATAATGGCACAAAAACCTTCATGCGTGTGTATGCAGAGCCGGGTAGTAGGGGATTACATGTAATCTGGATTATGTAATCAGATACAAAAATCAAATACTTATAACTAGAGAAAGCGACTTTCTAAAATACTTGTAATCTGATTACAGTTACTTTTTGATGGATTAAATATTATTTACACAGTGGCGATAAACTGTTCACAATTCACGGATTCTCCTAATTTTTCTCTGTTTTTAATGTTTATATTTGTCATCATAACTAATCCTGCCGCTCATTCAGTGAGGTGTATATTAGTGTGAGTATTGTAAGTATTAACTGTTCATCATTGCACTTTACACACAAGCTGTTCAGGCTCTTGTTGCTGATAAACAATGAAGATATTTTTACTTTCTATCTGTCAGAATAGCACAAGATTATCCTGCTTCAATATGTGTAATGTCAAATAAGGGAAAGCACAAAAGTAATCTAAATGTAATCCAAAAGTAGTCCGATTACATTAACAAAAAATGTCTACCATAATATACATTACCATAAATGTCGACCACACGTTACCACACCACACCACACATATGCGGCATCAAATAATTGTTAGCTAAAATGTAATCTAAATGTAATCCAAAAAGTAGTCAGATTACATTACTGTAAATGTCTACTATACATTACCATACCATACCATACATTAAACTAGCAGAAAAGTAATCTAAATATAAATGTAATCAGTGGCGGATTTATGCATTGGCAATGTGTAATCTAAATGTAATCCAAAAGTAGTCAGATTACATTAACAAATGTAAAGTATGGTATGTCTACCTGACCTTACATTACCATAAATGTCGACCATTCGTTACCACACCACACATATGCGGCATCAAGTAAGTGTTTGCTTAAACGTAATCTAAATGTAATCCAAAAAGTAATCAGATTACATTTCTGTAAATATCTACTATACATTACCATACCACACATATCTGTCATTAAATTAGCAGAAAAGTAATCTAAATGTAAATGTAATCTGTGGCGGATTTATGTATAGGCAATATGTAATCTAAATGTAATCCAAAAGGAGTTAGATTACATTAACAAATTTAAGGTATAGTATGTCTACCTGACCTTACATTACCATAAATGTCGACCATACGTTACCACACCACACCACACATATGTGGCATCAAATAAGTGTTAGCTAAAACGTAATCTAAAAATAATCCAAAAAGTAGTCAGATTACATTACTGTAAATGTCTACTATACATTACTATACCATACATTAAATTAGCAGAAAAGTAATCTAAATATAAACGTAATCAATAATAAATATAATGTAATAAATGTAATAATATAAATGTATAAATGTAATGGCGGATTTAGGCATGGGCAATGTGGGCGATCGCTCAGGGCGACATCTTGCAAGGTGCGGCATGGAGACATAATCCCCCCAACCCCTTCACTTTTATCCACGAAAGGGCAGCACAAACACCAGTATCTTGTTAGGGGCGCCATAGAGAGAAGCACCACCCTTCACTTTCGTTGACGCACCTTTTTCGCTTTTCGTCGATTTACATTACCATAAATGACTACCATATGTTTCTATACCATACATACGTGGCATCAAATAAGTGTTAGCGCAAAAGTAATCTAAATGTAATCCAAAAGTATTCAGATTACATAATCATAAATATGCAAGAAATATATATATATATATATATATATATATATATATATATATATATATATATATATATAACTAAGAAATATATAACAGGCTACAATTTTTGTCATGTAATGTGTAATCAGTAACTGGTGATTAAAATTCATAAGTATTCCACCCAGCTTGTTGTGTAACTGTGTTTGCGGTTAGCATGTGTAGCGTGTTGTTATCAACGCACCACTCCTCTCTCCCAGATGACGCTCATGCGGTCTTCGACGCCGGGCGCCCCGTGAGGGATCTTCGTGAAGTCTTCTTTGCCCATGGCCTTCTGCTTGGTGCTGAATGCGCGATGATCTGACGCCACCACGTTAATGATGTCGCTGCGTACACAGGAAACACATCATCACATGTTAACGATCCTCTAATTTCGCAAACTGACTCTTTTTTTACATTTGCTTGTTTCTCCGCAGCAGTAGTGGTTATAGTTGGTAAACTTAGAACGTAATGAATGGAAGAGCACAACAAATCATTCTTTTACAATCCTATCATAGATATATACACTAGATATCGCATAGGGACCCTGAGCATGCGTCAATAGCGCCGCCACATTGGTACAGTGCTCCCAGGACAAATGTCATTTAACCGCACTAGTCAAGACAGTGTTATTACGTGAAGATGCGGGACTTTAGCGCTGTCTACGGGTGTAGTAACGAGCAAACAAAGAAAACAAAGCACAAAGGCAGAACATTTCATAGGTAATATTATGTTTTTTTTTCTGTTGTTTTTTTAACGTTATTGATGATAACAGTCACTTACTGCATTCAGCATACGACAAAGCAGCTCCAACTCACACTAAACACTTGGCTTATGCTAGTTTTGTTGAATAAAATCAGCAAACAATGCAAAAGAAATATGACAGCGAGATGCTGCGCTGCCAGAAACTTGTATTATTGTCGCCTAACGTTAGTGAAAGAGTCGTTCGGGGTATGACTCCCTCCGTCAGTATGAGCAGTGGGCTCCCTCCGTCAGTATGAGCAGTGAAAGCAGGAGAGGAGCTGTGTTTCAGGACATGATTAGATCAAATTTAACAGGGAGGGTGAATAGTACATTTCTGTACACACAAACACAAGCTGTGTGTCAGGAATGCCCGTGCGGTCACTGATCCATCAATGCAGAAAAGTGATGTAAAATTATAATTTTCGTAATTAGAAAAAAAAATGTACATACTAACATCCAGGAAAACTCCCGATCATAGATATATGTGTATATGTGTATATCTCTGGCTTTGCATGGCCACAGTCCTCCACTGTACCTTGGTCCCGCATTCATTTCAAAGGAGCGCTACCCTGTAGCAAGATGGCGGCGCTATTGACGCATTCCGTCCAATAGACAACAATAGGCCAGGCGACATCTAGTGTATATATCTATGCAATCCTATTAGCTGAAATAACGACAGAAAAACTCCAGTATGGTGTTTTCAAGACTTCAGAAAAAAACAAAAACAATAGTGTGAGACTAATAAAGGCAGCCAGAAGAGAGAATAATATCATATCTACTGTCCCACCTCCATAGACTCTGCCTTACAAACACCGAGGGGAAATTAATTTTTAGTAATTTGATGCAAAGATGATATAATGCATAAATAAACACATATACAAAATACAAAATATAAAACTGCAAATTAATTTTTTTTCATGTAAATATTACAAATTTTTCAGGATTTAAGATTGATGACCATTAAACGTGTCATAACAGTCTTGTGAAAAGGGTCCATGAATAAAGGGCATTTTAGAGCTCTGACTGGCTGAGCGTCTGATTGGTTCGTACTTTCCCAGCAGGCCAATCAGATTGTCGGGGGTGTTGGGGTCGAGCCGGAGGGGCGGAGCTATGACATGAGCAGCGGCGTGAGCCCAGTCCTGATGATAATAATGCATCCCAGAGAGCACTGCATGAGCCACAGTCGTCTCCGCCTGGACCACCCTACCTGGAGCACACACACACAGACAGAGAGACAGACACTCAAACGCTGCGTTATCGACATCAGTGTGTTTATAAGCACTATAAACATTTCTGATCATACATAAACTGACCTTGCATGCGGGCGGCACCGATGACATCAGCTGCAGACATGCTGGACACGTTCACTAAATACACTGGACAGTGAGCCTGTGATGAGGAGACACGCGTTAGTCACACACACACACACACACAAATACACTCACTCTCTCCCACAAATCACTCACATATACACAATCTCTCTCTCCCACAAATCAAACTACACACACACATATACACAAATAATCTCTCTCTCTCTTATACATACACACACTTTCTCTCGCTTATTGTCTGTTTTCTCACCCTGTTGCCGATAGTTATGGCTCGATGTGTGGCCTCTGCTTCCAGCTAAAGACAGACAGACAGACAGACACACATCAGTCATAATGAAAGTCTCATTATAAACATTATTCTCACACACACATGCTCAAGTCTCTAACCTCCTCCGGTCGACTGATCTCCATCCCTTCAGGACCACTGATGCCCAGATCCAGAGCCTCCTTTGCCCCCTGAACACACATGCACAAGCGCACACACACATGTATTCATATATTCGAAAATCTAAAATAAAACAAAACAAAATATAAAACAAAAATAAAAAAACACAATAAATACAACACAATAAATTAAAAGCAAAACAAAAAAATCAATAAAACAAAATAAATTAAAATATAAAAACAAAACAAACAAAAAAACACTGAATAAAACTAAATAAATAACCCCCCCCAAAAAAACACTAAATAAAACAAAATAAATTAAAATATAAAAACAAAACAAAACAAAAACACTAAATGAAACAAAAATTTAAATATAAAAACAGAACAAAAAATACTAAATAAAACAAAAAATAAAATATAAAAAAAACATTAATTAAAACAAAAATTAAAATATAAAAAACAAAAAAAATACTACATAAAACAAAATAAATTAAAAACAAAACAAAAAACACTAAAAACAAAATTAATAAAAATATAAAAACAAAACAAAAAACACTAAATAAAACGAAAGTAAAATATAAAAACAAAAATGTACAATAAAAGCAAAACAATAAACACTAAATAAAACTAAAATTTAAATATAAAAACAAAACAAATAACACTAAATAAAAGAAAATGTATCAAAAAATAAAAGCAAAACAAAATATAAATCAAGTAAAATGAATTCAACTAAAATAATGCTGCATTAATATTAAAACAAAATAGTATAAAATAAAATACTACTACACTGTTCAAATAATACTCTAATATCTAATATGTAAAAAAAACATATTCTGAGACAATAAGCAAAGTAAATGAACTCCACCTCCAGCACCAGCTCTCCGTTCTCTGCGTGGATTCGAGCAATGGCGCCAATGTTTTTACAGGTGTTCAGAGCCTGATAAAGCTCAGAGTCCTTCAGCATCATCGTGTCTTTATACGCCATAAACATCTGGAAGGAGTTCACACCTCGCTCACCCACCAGCACCTCCATCTCCCGCTCCACCTGCACACAACACACCCAAAACATCAACCACATCTGCATATGATGGCTCAAATAAATGCACAGCTGTTGTGGGATTAAAAGAAATCTGCATAAATAAAATTAACATTAATGAAGTAAAAGTCAGAATTATTTGCCCTCCTGAATACTTTTTTTCCCAATTTCTGTTTAACGGAAAGAAGATTTCTGACACATTTCTAATCATAATAGTTTTGATAACTCATTTCTAATAACTGATTTATTTTATCTTTGTCATGATGACAGTAACTAATATTAGACTAGATATTCTTCAAGACACTTCTATACAGCTTAAAGTGACTTTTAAAGGCTTCACTATGGTAATTAGGATAAAGTTATTGTATAAAAGTGGTTTACTCTGGAGAAAATCCAAAACAAATATTGCTTAAGGGCAAATATTTGACAAAATTCACAGGAAGGCGAATAACTCTGACTTCACATGTAAATAAAAAAACAATAACAGTAGTAACAAACAAACAATTAAAGAAAATAACCATAAAATCATGAAAAACTATAAAGTAATAAATGAATAATAATAAGCTACACATCACATACACACACATGCTGTCACATGACTTAAAGCCTATTATGTCCAGATATCAAATATTTTAATATAAACTAGCTCAAATAAATATCTAAAAAAAGCTCTATTACACTTCTGCATGACTAAAATAACACATTGAAAAAATAAAACTGAGATGCACATTACCTGCATATGTTATTTGCACAGTTAAATATGTTTAAGAATAAGTTGCATAATTGCTTTGTAATTAACTAAATGCATAAAAGTATGGAAAAACACAATAAAATTATAATAATAACTAAATAAAATATGTGCAAAACGTGTATATTAGTAGGCTACACTGTCCAATTACCAACTGAAATAGTTATTTAAAAAAAAGTTATTAAAATATTAAAGTTATTATTATTACTACAATAATAATAATAATAATATATTTTTATTTATAATGGACCTTTCTATGACTCGTGCAGTACCTTCGGCCCCCACCAGGTGACGCCAACGTGCAGCGCGTAATCGCAGCAGGCTTTAGCATCCGCGTGAGCGCGCATCTGCTCAAAAGCATCCAGCAGAGACGCGCCGCGATCCGGGAGAACATGAGAGATCAACATCGTGGAGCCGCCCAACAGCGCCGCCTGCGCACACACACACACAAACACAGAGCCACACAACTCAACACCTGTCTTCAGTGTGTGTGTGTGTGTGTGTGTGTGTGTGTGTGTGTGTGTGTGTGTGTGTGTGTGTGTGTGTGTGTGTATGGTATGTGCATCTGTGTGTGTGAACAAGAGAAAGTGTAAAATTGTGACATTCTGTTTACATAAGAACATCAGTGTGTATTAACATTAAAACATGAGTGTGTGTGTTTGTGTGTGTGTGTAGAATGTGAAAGTGTGTGTGATTCTGTCTATTAGCAAAAGAATATAAGTGTGTGTGCACGAGTATGTTTGTATCTGAGAGTATGTGTGTGTGTGAGAGACCTAGAGAGAGTGTAAAATTGTGTGTGTGTGTGTGTATCTGTCACAGTGCATTCGTGTGAGCAAGACAGTGTAAAAGTGTGTGTGTAAGTGTGTGTGTTTACAGAAAAACGTGTCTGTGTGTGCATGTCAGTGTCTGTGTTTACAGATGAACATCAGTGTATGATGTGTGTTTAAGTGTTTGTAGATGTGTGTCACAGTGTGTTACGGGTGAACATGTGTGTGCGTGTGTCCTTGGTTTGTTCATAGTGTTGAGAGAACGTTCCCTAAAGTTTCTCTAAAGTTGTGAGAGTGTCTCTTGTTGAACACTGAACACACACACGGTCTGAGATGAGTGTCTGCATGAGTGGAATATTAATGCATGTGAGAGAGACCAAACAAAAGACACACACACACACACACACACACACACACACACACACACACACACACACACACACACACACACACACACACACACACACACACACACACACACACACACACACACACACACACACACACACACACACACACACACACACACACACACACACACACACACACACACACACACACTAATGCTGGTCTACTGCTGCTTTTACATCCTAACAGCAGGAGTTCCACTATACATGCACTGTTCTCTTCACTCCTGAATGTAGAAACGGTCACATGTCTGTCTCATGATGTCATTTCCTCCATAATATCCGCTTTATTTCCCTTTACAGCGTGTCGATCATCATCATGCTAATATTTGCATGAACACATCCCTGCACAGGAGTTTAGATTTGGCATATTAGCGCTCCTCCTGTCACTCAAACTGCACTGATGATGACGTCACAGAGGAAGTGCAGGAGTGTGGTGTTTCCTGTGTGTGTGTGTGTCAGTGCCAATCTAGCTCAGCTGTTACTATAGTAACAGTCACTATAGAAACTGGAAGGTTACATCATCCATGCTCATGTCAACACACACACACACGAGGAGTTTTACTAGTAAAGGAGCTGCATGTCATGTGAGGGCAAGGGTGTCTGTCTGTGTGTGTGTCTGTCTTTGTGTGTGTGTGTGTGTGTGCGTGATAAAGTGTTTGTTTGTGTAACTTTGTTAGACGTGTGTGTGTGTTTAAGTATAAGATTTATATTATATTAAATAATGTGTATGAGTGTGTGTGTTAACAAGTTAATGTGTGTGCCAGAAAGTGCACGTTTATGTGTGTGTCTTTGTGTGTGAGTGTGTGTATGTATGTGTTGTGTATCACTGCATGTGTGTGTGTGTGTGTAAATAAAAGAATAAGTGCATGTTTGTGTGTGTGTGTGTGTGTGTATGTGTATATATATATATACATATATATATATATATATATATATATATATATATATATTGTTATGCATCATTGCGTGTGTGTGTGTGTATACATATATAAATAAAAGAGTATGTGTGTAGGTGCATGTTTGTGTGTGTATGAGTGTAAATTTAGGAGTAAGTGCATGTGTGTAGGTGCATGTTTGTGTGTGTGTGTATACATATATAAGTGAAAGAGTATGTGTGTAGGTGCATGTTTGTGTGTGTGTGTGTGTGTATATATTTATGTAAGAGCAACTGTGTAAGGCATGTTTGTGTGTGTGAGTGTGTGTGTGTTTATTTATGTAAGAGCAACTGTGTAAGGAATGTTTGTGTGTGTGAGTGTGTATGCATGTATGTGTTGTGTGCGTCACTGCAGGTGTGTGTGTGTGTGTGAATATATATAATTGTAATAGCGAGTGTGCGAGTGGATGTTTGTGTGTGTATGTATGTGTTGTGTGTGTCACTGCATGTGTGTATATATATAAATTTAAGCGCATGTGTGATTGAGTGTCGGTGCATGTTTGTGTGTCACTGAGTGTTTTTCCCATGTGAGTCTCTTATTATGTGTGTATGTGTGTGTGCGCGCGGGTTTGCATAAGTGTAAGATCATATATATATATGTGTGTAAATGTAAAAGCGTGTGTGTATGAGTGCCATCATCATGTCAGTCTCTGATTGTGTGTATGTGTGTGTGTGTGTGTTACCTTGGTGCCGCTGTAGAAGTCGTCCTGTGTGTGTGCGTTCATGAATGTCTGGTGCAGGTGAACGCTGCTGTCGATGCCGCCGGGAATCACCAGTTTTCCAGTCGCATCGATCACCTTTGCTCCGCCCGGGATCATCAGGTCCCGCCCCACCTGCTGGATCCGCCCGTTCTCCAGGTAAACATCTGCCTCCTCTGTGACATCATCATTCACCACCCGGCCGCCTTTAATGAGGATCCGCATGGAGGAGCCGCCGCCCGACATCATCCTGCAGATTGAAAATAAAATACACAGCGCAGGTAACTCGACCATAATCATTCATTCATTTTCATTTGGCTAAGAGTCTATTTCTAAAGGTTGCCACAGTGGAATGAACCGTAAAGCATATGTTTTATGCTGCGGATGCCCTTTCAGCCGCAATCCAGTATTGGGAAATACCCAAACACATTCATACACTACAGCTAATTTAATTCCCCTATAGCGCATGTGTTTGGACTGTGGGGGAAACTGGAGCCCCCAGAGGAAACCCACGCCAACACAGGGAGAACAAATAAACAATCACGTGATTCTAAAGTAAGGATGCCGGGAATTCAGATTTAAATCACAGGAATAAATTATACTTCACTATTTATTCAAATTAAAATCAGCTACTTGAAATTGTAATAATATATCAGAATTGTTGGCCATATTTATGTTTGAATAAATGAAGATTGGTGAGCACAAGAGACAATCATGTGGAAATAAGATTGAAAAAATATGAAAAAGGGGAATAAAAGAGCTACAGAGTACAGCCTATTTTAAAAATTAATATTTATTTTGCTGCAAAACAGACTTATTAAACAGATATATTTATTAAAATAATATTTTAGTCACAGAACATCTTTAGAAATAGAAGGCTAATATTTAAATTCAAGCAAAATTTTGCAAAATTAAATTACAAACTACTAAATTTTAGATATTTTTTAGTTTCTCTTGATTTTTTCCTCCTTTAATTTTTATTTATTTAATATTTTTTCTGAAACATATAAATTTGGGTGTACTTATTTTTGGGCCGCTATTGTAAGCTATTTTATTAAAGCCGTTTTATTAATAATTAAAAATGTATTGTGCAAAAACTCACATTTATAGTGAACAACAAACAGACTAGATAGTATCTCTCCAGCTATAAAACACTACATATGAGAAAAAAAACTGCTTTTTCCCTGAGGATGAAACAAAACTGTGCTGATTTACATGCAGATGAGACATCAGAGAGAGTTCAGTGAGGCGAGAGGAGAAACGAGAGCGCTTTCTGTCTCCAAACAGCACATTTAAATGCAGATTTTACCATTGTAAAATTCCTCTGCACTACATTTTCTGTCATGCACACTGAAGACAAAACCACTAACATCACTTTACACACACAGAGCTGATAAAAATCTGTGTAACGCTGACGGAATATGTCATTTTACAGGCATCAGAAGGTTTAAGCTGTACTATAAGCCTCCCATCAGAAGCATCACAGTGTAATAAATAAATAAACATCTATATATAGACTGTACAGGAAAAATAGGTCATCCTTCATTAAAAAAATATGGTGCATATGTAGTATTGTTAAAAAACAAAAACAATTCACCACACACACACACACACACACACACACCTAAGGGCTAATGCAGCATTTAATATGCAAATCCACACACAGCAGGAGTGATGACATCAGTGATAATCGGTGTGTGATGATGCGTGCTGTGTGTGATGTGAGCGGAGCAGAAAACATGCATCTTGCTGTGATTACATCACACACACACACACACACACACACACACACACACACACACACACACACACACACACACTATAATGTCTTTTCATCTCAGCATCATGTGATGTATAACAAAAATGAGGCAACATTTAATATTTGTTGTACTACTACATTATGTACCTCAAAACTGCAATCAAACACTAAACATCAACACTGAGCATCTGCATATTATTGACCTGCATCTAATAATAGCTAGCATACTAATGTCTAATCAATTTGTGCTTGTATGTTATAAATAAGAACAAGTAAATAATAAACAAGTACTGGTGTTATATAGATTAGAAATAGTATCTAATGAATATGTACTACTATTTAACAATCTCTACTATATCGTAAATGAGTAAAAGATTTGTTGTTATATTGTATTAATTTATATTATATTGTAATTAATTTCGAATATAGTAAAAATAAATGCGAGAGAGCATAGACACATTAAGCAGTCTCTCAAAGCAATGTGTTTTATATTGATATCCACATATGTTTGTGTAGATCTGCATCAGGATATCATCCCTCCATCTCAGAACATTTCTTCTCGAGATTTACGTTATTTTATATTAATTAAAATAACTCACGCTGTAATATTAGCATTAGAAGTCATTTTAAAGCTTTACTGTTAAAATACAGACATTTTATGATGACTAAAAACATCAAATACATTCGTTGTGGTAGAGCTGCTTTAATATAATCAGTATCATAACGCTAAACACCTGCAATCACAACCCAACCGAAACCAAAAACGTAAACACATAACGGTAACGTTACATACACATCATAGAAATGTCATATTTAGACAAAACCAGAGAAATAACGAGGACAATATCAGTTCACAACGCGAAGATTAAAACTCTTCCTGTCAATAAACCTGCCGTACACAGTGAAATATTAATTTTAAAACGGATTTTCTGTGTTGACGTACCGTATTTGATGATTTTCCTTCTGTTGTGCGTGCACTCGCTCCACCGCGCGCCCGATGACAGCTGTCACTGCGCGCGCACGAGACCGAGAGGAGCGCGCGCCAGGCAGACCAACCGACCAATGAGAAGCTGTAAAACAGGATGACTGGGGCTTGTTGTCATAACGCAAGTCATTTTAGCAGAAAAACCTTTGTTGTTCTGAAAAAAAATAAATAAATACTAAAATCATGAAGGGTTTTAAATTTTTAATATCTATTTTTAATTCTGTTAGCTAAAGTTAAATTACTTATATAGTATAAATGTATATAGTTATATTATACCGTGTTCAGCATAAATGAGTACATTACCTTCTGAAAATCAATATTTGTATCCATTTCTAAGTATATATATATATATAGACAATGTTTGGTGCATTTAAACAGTTATATCCATTATAATAATATTATTCTTTAGGAATAGAAAAAAAATACATTAACGTTCAAATGGGGTGCTACAAAAACAATTACAATCTTATATATTTTTATGTTTTTCTAGATTTTTCCTGCTTATAACCAAGTTATTTAACATTTCGACCCAATAAATGCATGTGTGTGTGCTCATTCTTGCATGTTTTTGTTACGATTAGTTGCAGATTTGTCTTTGGCACTAATCAAATGTACATGGATAAATATATTACTGTAAAGCATCCTGTAAAAATCTTAATTTACATATGAACAACTCATATTTATGTTAAATAAAGTATTACACTTTTTATTTTATTCTGACTGTCCATAAATTCATTTAAATATAGGAACAATTGCATTTTAAACAATGATAACTGCAATTCAAGCATTAATTCGAGATATCTGCAATGTTAATTGCACTAGTAAAACAAATTTTGAGACATCTGTAAATACATTTTGACTAGTGAAAACTCCATTTAGGATATCTGTAATGATGTTAAATTAAATGTAAGCGTTCTACAACTCTAATTTGACTCAAAAATTATTCTTATGATATCTATAAATGTGTTTTTGAGAATTTTTTCCTAATGCTGAATTTATAAAATCTCCAATTTGATTATGACTAGACAAAACCCATAAAGATTTCAAATTTTATTTAATATTTATAATTACTGATAATTAAATTAATGTTTACTAGTCATTACTAATTTGCAGATAATATTCAGACAGAAATATTTTACAATGTAACAAAAATAAATAAATAAATTAATTATATATATATATATAACCTGCTATGAAAACACCCAGAAATATAACTTGTGGTTTTTAGGGTTTTATTATCAATAAATCAAGTCATTGACATAATTCTCTGTTCATAAAATTACATAAAACAGTCACTGACAGGTCATTGTCATAACGTGATATTAAAAGTATTTATCATTTGTCACATTTAAATTATTGTACAGCTAGTTTACAAGTTCATGATGGGCATCATTAAGGATAAAAATCATGATGGATGCAAAAAAACACCAATATGAATCATAATCAACCATGAAAAACGGAAAGACATGTAAAAGCGCAAGGCTGTTAATACAACTGTTTTTCCTCCAATATTGTTTGGCCTTCTGTGCATTGCAGCAGTTGGCACTGGGGTGCAATATTATGCATTTAAAGAGACTGACATCATTAAACACATCATAATAAATCAGTGTCAATAGTGACAACAGTGTCAGTACAATAGTACGGTCTCCCTCTGCTGGACGGTAATGGAAGTGTCCGCTGAAACACACATGATGGCTTTGGTCATTTAATACTGACACACACACACACACACACGCACACGCACACGCACACGCACACGCACACGCACACGCACACGCACACGCACACCTCATTTCATCATTCTGTGCTTTCATATTGTTTATGGCAACAGGACTTGACTGTATCAGAGGTGTACTGTATTAAACGGCTTGAGGAAACATCTAGGGCAATGGTCTCATCCCTCAATTCCAGAAGGGCCACTGCTCTGCACGATTTAGCTCCAACCACCTCCAACTCACCCTGCTTAATAGTCTCTAGTAGTGTTGAACACCTTGATTATTTGAATCAGCTGTGTTTGATTAGGGTTGGAGTAAAACTGTGCAGAGCTGCGGCCCTCCAGGAATTCAGTTTGAGACCTTTCTGCAGGTCATATTATCTGTCTGCAACCCTAATAATCCCCTCAGAAACACGTTTCTCTGCATCAGCTCAAATGTCTAGTGACGTTAATGGCACAAATTCAAATCTACATGACATTAATGGTCTCTGAAAGGATGATAATGGTAAAGTATTAGCTTGTAAAAGCATTAAAATATCTGTGCTGCGTTTATAAAACAGCATACTTACATTATCATGTAGGACATGGGTCTCAAACTCAATTCCTGGAGGGCCGCAGCTCTGCAAAGTTTTGCTCCAACCCTTATCAATGCCCATTAATGCAAATGTGAAATAGCCACTTTTTCCTGTCATTCAATGTGTTTTGGTCATTATCAATGCACTGTCACTTTAAGTAGATAAAATAAAATAGACCCAGCACTGCTGCTTCAGATGCTCACGCCTCGCGCTGCTGCTGCGTGCTTTAAAAAAAGCTCTACTCTGTTAACATGGTTGCCGAAAACACACGCTCTGCTCACGCTTGCAGTGTGAAACAGGCTTTACACTCTTTTGAACACCTTGATTATTTGGATCAGCTGTGTTTGATTAGGATTGCAGCAAAACCATGCAGAGCTGTGGCCCTCCGGGAATTGAGTTTGAGACCCTACATTGTAGGCTAATACCATCCAACAGTAGTTTTTGACACTGTTCAATAATCGGGTTTAAAAATAAACAAAATTGAAGCCGTTATTGTATTCACTACCAGTCAATAGACTGGACACACAGATGGTAACGAAATGCAAGAAAAATAACCATTGATTGGCTGTTGAGATGTGGGCGTGGCACTTAAAAGCGAAAGCAAGCAGACTCTAGGAGGCGGGGCTTAGCAGAAATCCTGCCTACGTCACCAGAGACTAGTTTTGTCTACTGGATATTTAGATTACAAATGAATATAAAGTACTGCATTCCTCTATTTCTGTACGCTATTGTTCTTGTTATGCCATCAGTAACAAAAAGTTTAAAAATATTTATTTAAATTAAATATAAAAGTGTGACAAAACCATTAGACATAAGCACAGATGCCGTCATGATTTTGGAAAATAAATAGGATGCATTCCTCTTAGATGTTTATGGGAAAACACCTCAAAGATAGCTCTCGGTGAGGTGTGTGTGTGAAGATTGTGTGTTTCTGTCTGCTCTTGGCCTGATGTGATCTGCATCGGTTTCCATTTTAACCCATTTCTATTATATTTAGCGTGATGTAGAACTCATGTTTTACAGTGGGACACTCTGCTGATGGTGCTGGGCAGTAATGTTAGCTCATAACGTTGAGAGAACGTTCTCTGAATTACTGTGTTTGTGCTCTTGCACTGTTTAGGCCGAGTCTAAAAATGCCCTGCAGAGCCGGTGTGTGTCAGGCAACCCTACACCACAGCTGAACATGCACACACTCCCTCTCTCTCCATCACACACACACACACAGAAACACGCACACACTCTCATACACAAACTCTCTCTCTCTCACATACACACACTCATCTGCAGTGAGGAACAATGCGCGTCTTTGAGTGATGTGAGCAGAAGCAGCACACACACACTCTCCAGCAGACACACAGGGGCTGCGCTGGATCTGAACACACGGAGAGGATCTGCTCTGCTGGACGGCTGAATACACACCCAGAGGATAAACGTGTCCCCGCTTCACCTAAGACACACACAAACACACATATTTAATATTAGTAATAGTAAAGCTCACATTATATTATTATATTACATGAATGATATTATATTATAAAACAAATTGTAATTGATTAAGCTGTATAATATTTTAACAATACATATACACTCACCGGCCACTTTATTAGGTACACCTGTCCAACTGCTCATTAATGCAAATTTCTAATCAGCCAATTACATGGCAGCAACACAATGCATTCAGGAATGTAGACACGGTCAAGACGATCTGCTGCAGGTCAAATAGAGCATCAGAATGGGGAAGAAAGGTGATTTAAGAGACTTTACACATACAACCATCTCTAGGGTTTACAGAGAATGGTCTGACAAAGAGGAAATATCCAGTAAGTGGCAGTTCTGTGTGTGCAAATGCTTTGATGATGCCAGAGGTCAGAGGAGAATGGCCAGACTGGTTCCAGCTGATAGAAAGGCAACAGTAACTCAAATAAGCACTCGCTACAACCAAGCTCTGCAGAAGAGCATCTCTGAACACACAACACGTCCAACCTTGAGGCGGATGGGCTACAGCAGCAGAAGAGCACACCGGGTGCCGCTCCTGTCAGCTAAGAACAGGAAACTGAGGCTACAATTCACACAGACTCACCAAAACTGGACAATAGAAGATTGGAGAAACGTTGCCTGCTCTGATGAGTCTCCATTTCTGCTCACACATTCGGATGGTTGGGTCAGATTTTGGCCTCAACAACATGAAAGCATGGATCATCCTGCCTTGTATCAGCGGTTCAGGCTGGTGGTGGTGGTGTAATGGTGTGGGGGAGATTTTCTTTGGGTCCATTAGTACCAATTGAGCATCAACGCCACAGCCTACCTGAGTATTGCTGCTGACCATGTCCATCCCTTTATGAGCACAGTGTCTCCATCTTCTGATGGCTACTTCCAGCAGGATAACGCAGCATGTCATGAAGCTCAATCATCTCAGACTGGTGAACATGACGATGAGTTCACTGTACTCAAACGGCCTCCACAGTCACCAGAGCTCAATCCAATAGAGCACCTTTGGAATGTGGTGGAGTGGGAGATTGGCATCATGGATGTGCAGCCGACAAATCTGCAGCAACTGTGTGATGCTATCATGTCAATATGGAGCAAAATCTCTGAGGAATGTTTCCAGTACCTTTGTTGAATCTCTGCCACCAAGGATTAAGGCTGTTCTGACGGCAAAAGGGGTCCGACCCAATACTAGTAAGGTGTACCTAATAAAGTGGCCGTGAGTCTATATATAAATAATATGTATAATAAAATATATATTACATATTTTATCTCGAAAAATAGTTTATAAATGTTTTGAAAACATTTCATTGAGCACAGGAGTTTCAGCTTTGACAGAAATAAATGAATTCTTAACTCCTGAGCTATTAGCAAATCCCCTACAGCGCCACCTAGTGTAGAAAGGTTGCAGATGTGCCTGATTCATGCTGTCTGATACATCGGTTTATAAATAAGAGAACACAATGAGCAGAAACACAGCAGCAGCTTCACTAAAGCAGGAGAAGTGCTGAAAGCCGGACGTGACTCCAGTTTCAACCCTGAGTGAGCAGATCCACTTACAGCCATAAAAGCAGCCCAAAACACCAGGAGATCCACACGCAGCAGCCATGAGCAGGAGAAACACCAGCAAAGCAAAAACACACCATCACCACGCACAGGAAAGCTGAAGACATATGAACAAACGAGAGCCTGGATCAGCCATGAAGGCCCGCCATTGTTTCCTCTATTAGCTTTGGAAAAGCGCCACTGAAAACAGAAAGATCACCGACCGACAGCGGATGCAGAACTCAGCTCACTTTCACTGCAGGATCAGATTCTCTCAGATGTTTCTATTGAAACGCTTCCCAGTCAACAGGGAGAGCTCTAGAAGTTTCTTCAAGTAACGTTAATGGAACATAACACACACTCATACATGCACACACTCATACACACACTTAATGAGCAGCCGAATATGAACGTGATCTCTCACCACACGGACATGCTACAGTGAATCTAAAGTTGTTTGTATGATAAAACTTTACATTTGGAGCGCTCAGTAGTGAAGTTACACATGTATTGAGAACATCAGCAACGTTTAGTTGAACAGAGTGTGTGTTTGTGTATGTGTGTGTGTGTTTTTACGTCTTAAATCTGCAGAGCCTATAAACCTGCTCATTTCTGCTGAAACATGAGATGCAGAGGAACCTCCAGAAACAACATCTGGAGCTGCGCACACACACACACTCACTTATACAACACACACTTAACACATACAGACAATAATACATAATGCACACACTCACATACACACAAACAAAAACATATGCGCACGTACACACACACATACAGACAATAATACATAATGCACACACTCACATACACACAAACAAACACTTAGACATATACACATTCGCACACACACACACACCTGAACATAACTTACACATATACAACACTCAAATTTATACACACACACACACACACACACACAACAAACACACTTATGTATAACACACTTACTCATTTATACAAGACACACTGACAAACACACACTCATTTACACACATTCATACATAAGCGCAAACACACACACACACACACACACACACACAAAATATACACACACTTATACATAACACACACACACACACACATAATATGCATTCACACTCACTCTCACACACACACACACAAATACATATTGCGCACACACACACACACATATAACTCATATTCATACACACACTCACACAACATACACACTCATATGCATGACACACTCATTTATGCAAGACTCTCACACACACACACACAAAATATACACACTCATACAAAAACACACACAAGCAATCACATTCACACACATGCAAACTTAACACATACAGACAATAATACATAACACACACACTCACACACTTAAACAACTTACACATCACTCAAATTCATACACACACTCATACATAACACACACTCACTCATTTATATATACACAAGACACTCAAAAACACACACTCACATATATTCAAACATGCACACACAAACACCATATACACACACTCATACATTCCACACACACTCACTTATACAACACACATATATATACACACACACACACACACACACACACATTATTATACAGATACAGACACACACACTTATATATAAGGTCTCTGGTTTCTACAGCCGCTTCATTCTGCTTTTTTCACTGCTAATGCAACTCTAGAGCTGCGACAAGGATTGAGTTTCTGTCCGGCGCCATTCTGAGGGAAAACCCACTAACACACACACACTCTCTCTCTACCACACACCACACACACACTCACACACACACACACACACACACACACACACACACACACACACACACACACACACACACACACACACACACACACACACACACACACACACACACACACACACACACACACACACTCCTGACTGAATATAACTGAAAACAGTGTAACAGAATTTGTTTACTTGCTACATCACTTCACAACATCGCACTCATGCTCTGATTCGCTCCTGAATAACCAATCAGAGTGCTCTCTTCAGCTGACGATTCTACATGCTGAATCAGACCAATGAGCTCCGACATTAACCCAACAAAACGCAACACAAGGAAACCCAATGGGCGACTGTCAGCTTGGTGTGTGACGACCGTTAGACTGAAGGGTTTATTCTGCAATAACAACCGGCTGGATGTACATTATCCTGCTTATATGTAATGTTACACACTTATTGAACAGTGTGTAAGAGACTCACCCACGCTCATTTGTTCTGGTCTCTGATCCTTAAGCATCGCCTCTTCACAGCCGGCTCTGCATCGTCCCGCACGCTCTGCTCGGGTCCCAGCTCATCCACCTGTGTGTTTTTCTCCCAGATTTGCGTGTGTAAATGTGTTTGAGTGTTCACGTGTGTGTTTTTCTCCCGTAGTTTTGGCGGCACCGACCGTGCGTAGGTGTGCTCCACATCCTGAGGCGTTTCCTCCTCCCCTTTGCCCTCTTTTGATTGGTCACTCTGACAGTCCATTTGCTCTGCCGTCCACTGATTGGCTGAGTCATTGCCCCGCCCACATAAATAGCTATTCTCCTTCACATCCTCACAGTCAGACAGAGGCGACGGGATCTGGCCGGAGCTGCTGTCCAATGAAAACGAGGCAGCCTGAATGGCAGTGGAGCGAGCCAATGAGTACAAAGAGGCGGGACTAACGATTCTGCCGTCCAATGAGGCTGAGGCTGTGGATGTGAGGACAGAGGTGTAAAGTGCTTTGCGTAGAGTCTGAATGTGTGTGTCATTTCTCTCCTCTTTCACAGAGTCTCTGCGCAGACATTGAATGACCTGCCGCTCGGATGCAGACACTGGAGAAACACACCGCTCCGTCTTTACCCTCTGACTCCCAGCGGGCTCTTTTTCCGGCTCCTGAAGGCTTCGGATGACCCCTCGGTGGCTGTTCTGAGGGGAAATCGGGATGGGGATAGGGATTGGGATAGGAATGGGTACAAACACAGGGTAAGGCATCATCATCATGGGCTGGGGCCACGGCGGAGGCATTTGTGGTGGAAATGTTGGGTGGAGGGGCAGGTATGGGAGGGGGTAGTGAGGGGGCGGGGCAAATGGCACCCTTTGGGTGGGGCTAAGAGGGTGAGGCGGGTTATGAGGGAGATTAGGGGTGGGGCTTCGCAGGCTCTGGGCGTGCAGGGGTGGACGTATAAAGGGGAGGGGCATGTGAGGTGGGCGTGGCTGCTCTGGTGTACCCTGAGACGGACCAGTGGGTGATTTGGGCGAAGTGGCCATCTGAACCCGCATGCAAACAGGCGTTCTCTGCAATGCAGATGCTGTTGGGGTTTGGGGCGAGAGGCTTTTCGCTGGAGACTCCCAGGCGTCCGGAGTGAGCAGTGTCTGGTTTTCGCTGGTGGCTGCGGGTTTCGGGTGGTTCTCTTCCTCTTTGGAGCTGGTGAGCGCAGCCCGAGCCTCCCGGTAAAACACGTCCATCTTGTACTGGTTCAGGCATTTGGTGCTGCAGAACTGCAGTCGCTCCTCACCCGAACCGAAGTCCAGGTATTCTTTAGTGTGGCGTATGTGTTTACACCAGTCACACACCTGCAGACACACAAGACACACACGTGTTCTGCAAAATATACTTTATTATATTAATAAATAAAAAACCCTCTTTTCAATCTAGCGTGTTAATATCGTACTCACTATAGGTCTTGACTGTTACTTTCCAAATGTTCATCTGTTATTCCTTTGGTTTTTGTTTTTATGTTTTTATTATTTCTCTGTATGTGGTTTGTATTTATGCACAGCACTTTAGTCAGTCTTGTGGCTGTTTTTAAGTGTGCTTAATAGTGATTCATAGCCAGGGCTTTACATTAACGCCCCATTCATGTCAATGCTTGACAGAGGGCGTGTCTGAAGTTGGGGCTGACGCGATAGTCATAGCAGCGTTAGCCAATGAAATCAGTCAGCAATAGGCCACTGTCTGAGCTGGTGTATTTGCATACAGGGATCTGATTGGCTGACGCTTCCATCGGCACTTAAAAAGTTGAGCTAGTTCCAACTTCTGCAGCGAGCAACACCACTGAAGCGGCGCTGTCGGATCCAAAATGCAGTTCGGCAACGTCTGACGTCATCCATTCAAAGTCAATGGAAAGCGTTGAAGCTGATGCCCGTGTGAATGGGGCGTAACACCTGCCAACCCGCCAAATGTGGGTAAATGTAAGTTGTGGCGGGTTAGACAGACACTCCCACTAGCCACTTTGGCTGATTAAAAATAATGTTTTACTTGTAGGTTTCTTTAAAGTACGATTCGACAATTAGCATGGCCCAATATTCATACAAATTTGATTTTAGAATCAAGAAGCAGCACGACTGACAAAATAACTGTTCGCGCGAGTAAAAGAAAGCAGGTGAATACCGAATGACAGGACGACCACTCGAGTGCACAGGTGATGTGATGCGCGCAACTGTTAAAAAGCATGCGCGCTCCCGTTTACTTGCGCAAAGCAACCGTGACTACAGGAAACGCAACTGGTGTGATCGGTTCTCTTTAAAATAAACCAGACAAAAAGCAATGATTGTGCACATACAGTCCTGCTGCTTTCAAGAGCTCAAAAATATATAAAATTATCCTTTTGTAAGCAGTAGAGGTAACTGCTTTCATTTTAATTATTCTTTGAACAGATTAGCAGGTCTAACATTAACCGTGTGCACGTGATCATCCTCTCATTATCACTCACGGTATGCTCCTTTTTTTTGCTTACAGTTATTTTAGTTAATATGGTTTAACTATCTTCTTTTTTTTTTTTACAATAACATTGCTTTAATATTAGATTAACTCCCCATTTATGTGTAGTTAACAGCTGATCTGGGAGCTTCATCCAGCTCAGATTACGGTGCATATTTTAGACACATGACAATAATTATTTTTTAAATGTGATTTGTTTTCTTAAGATCAGTTGTTGAATTAAAAAGTGCATGTATGCAGCTATATTTGCTTGTTAAGACACATTTTAAATGTGTGGTTAAGAAATAAATACTTCTTTTTGGTGTGGTCAGAGGTCAATTTAGTAAATCCTTAATTTTGAGCCCAGAAAAGGTCATGTGAAATAAAAACTACTTGCATTGTGACACAACCCTTTTGCACATGCACATTGAATAAGCTCAAACACAACACACAGAAAAAGTTAAATGAATGTAGTTTTAGCATGTCAAAGTCAAATTCAGGCATATAAAATATATTTCCCAACAACAAAAGTGTGGCTAGTGAAAATGGCGAGTGGCTAGTAATGTTGGAAATCTACTAGCCACAGTGGCTGGTGATCAGAAAAGTTCATGTCAATCCCTGTTCATAGCACATGCATCATGGCACACAGTTTACATAGAGCAGCTCATGATTTGTTAGATGGAGTTTACTTAGCAAATGCATGTCCATTAGGGACGCATCGAATTCTTGGGCACAGAAAATCATTGGCTGAAAATATTTTTGCTCAAAACATCATTTTTAGACCAGGCAAAGGTTGTGCTGCACCACACTGTTAGTAATATCGCTACTGCGCTGTCATGGCTATGCTACTAAATGACGTCTCTCATTCACCGTCAATAAAATGTGGTTATTTAATCGCCTTTAGTTTTTTAATCAGTGTAATCTAGGTTAAATTTTAAAAGTCTTACAAATTTACTCGACATCATTTAGTAAAATGATAATTATTACAAAACATTTTTGCTTTCATTTGTAGTGCATCCACAATATTCAGTCTTGGCCCAGGTATATTCTTTCTGTGCATCTAATGTGTGTTTACTTACACGTGTGCTGCTGTTGTTGTTGTTCATCTTCAGCATCAGTCTTGTGGGCGTGTCCAGAGTTTGGCCAGGAGACGGAGACTTGTCACCATGGCGATCTTCATCTCGAGCCTTGACGAAAACACACAAAAATAAAAATATTCTTCTTCAGTGTCTACAGGAGTGATTAGTATCGTGTCTGATTGTGTTTAATTAGTAGATAAAGCTCACGTTAATGACCTTTAATTCCATCTGTACACTATGAAAATCACCAGAACATCTGATTTAAATGCTCCAGACATGTGACACAATAAACTAGTTTTTATTCCCAACACTAGATCTATTGTTTCATCAACGTCTCGCTTTCTTTTCTTTTTTCTCTTCTACAATAAACAGCGCTGGCTTTGATATTGGATATCCACTGAAGCACATAGACATATTTACGGCATCTTATGTATCAAGATGTGTGTGTGTGTGTGTGTGTGTGTGTGTGCGTGTATGTGTAAGTGTGTGTGTGTGTGTGTGTGTGTGTGTGTGTGTGTGTGTGTGTGTGTGTGTGTGAAGTATGTGGTGTAAGCTGAAACCTCTCTCTCTCTCTCCCAGTCTTGCTCTCTGACAGGCTGAAACTGGTCTGAAGCTGGTTTCTCTGTTTCTCTGGCTGGATAAACTTTGCTCAGTGTTTCAATGCTGCTCTTTTTGCTGCTGTGTGAATGTGAGGCTCATGAGGAGCACACACACACACACACACACACACACACACACACACACACACACACACACACACACACACACACACACACACACACACACATATCTCTCTCTGTTAGTGTAAATGTTTGCCTGTACATGTGTCTGTTTGTCTGTGTTTTTTTGTGTCTGTATGTGTTTGTGTCTGTGTGTGAGTGCGTAAATTTATGTCTGGGTGTGTGTCTGTGCCAGTGGGTTATTTAACAACTGAACCAATTAAACTGACTGAAACAACTAACTAAATAAACAACTAACTAAACTAATTAAACAAACAACTAAAACGGAATTAACTAAAACAACAAACTACACTAAATAAACAAACAACTAACTAGTCTGCTTGCGTGTGTGTCTGTGTCAGTGAATTATTTAACAACAAACAAACTAAAGAAAACAACAAACAAACAAACAAAAACATCTAACTAAAACAACCAACTAAACTAATTAAACTCCTATCTAACCAACAAAAACAACTAACTAAACAAACAACTAACTAAATAAACAGCTAACTAAACTAACTTACAAAAATAACTAACTAAAATAAATTAACATCTAACTAAAACAACCAACTAAAATAATTAAACTCCTATCTAACCAACAAAAACAACTTACTAAACAAACAACTAACTAAATAAACAGCTAACTAAACTAACTTACAAAAATAACTAACTAAAATAAATTAACAACTAACTAAAATAACTACCTAAACAACTAATTACCTAAACAACTAACTAAACTAATTAAACAAAAAACTACCTAACAACTAACTAAACAAACAACTAACTAAACTACTAAGTAACTAGTGTGTGTCTGTCATTGAATTATTTAACAACTATCTAAACAAACATCATCTAATCAACTCATCTAATTAAACAAACAAACCAACTAACAAAAACAGCTAACTAAATAAATAAACTAACTAAACAAACAACTAAGTAAAACAACCAACTAATCTAACAAAATAAACAACTATCTAACTAACTAAAACAACTAACTAAAATTAAACAAACAACTAACTAAAACTACTAACTAAAAAAACGACAAATAACTAAACAAATAACTTACAAACTAAAACACACCAACTAAACTAATTAAACAAACAACAAACTAAAACACATTAACTAAACTAATTAAACAAACAACAAACAAACTAACTACTGACCACCCACTAACTAACTAACCTGCTTGTGTGCATGTGTTTATGCCTAACCGACTCAAATTAAGCAAACAAACAAACTAAAACTACTAACTAAACTAACTGATTAAACACTAAAACAACTAGATAAAAAACTAAAACAACTAACTAAAACAGCTTGCTAGCTAAATCTTGATATAGGAACGGCAGACAGCAGATGTAAACAAGCTTCTGCTAATGGGTCGGTGTTATTGCACTTGACAAGGCTCACTTCACTTGGGTCAAATGGATGTTCAAACTTGGGTCAAATGTGTTGCTCTGTGATTGGTGCAATGTTCACCTTGTTGCGTTGGAAACGTGTGTGTTGCTCTGTGACTAGTGCAGTTTTTGTTCACCTTGTTATGTATGTAAAGTGTTTGTTCACCTTGTTATGTATGTAAAGTGTTTGTTCATTTTGTTATGTATGTAAAGTGTTTGTTCACCTTGTTGCGTTTGAAGTATGCGCGTCGACAGGCTGCGAAACACTTCTCGCTGCAAAAACTCTTGAGTTCAGAGCCCATGAGCAGAGAGTAACGCTTCATTCCCTCCTTCTGACACCACACACACACGATCTGCACGTTCTGGACGTCCTCCACTGTTTACACACACACACACAAAAATCAGCATTACTTACAAAACTATACTAAAAACTATACTTACTAAACTAAATAGCTTAGGCTATTAAGTTATTAGAAAACAACACACATTCAAGGTAGTGTGCATTGCTTTCTAATAATTCAATGGCCTGGAGTTGATGATTGTGTTTCTCATCGGGTCTCTATAGCTGAGTCCCCTGTTGAGATGTTGTATTTGAGTTTATTTGTCAGGTTGCCTGTGTGTAGCACTAGTTTCTTCCACATCTCCTCCTCTTCCTCCTGTTGTGTTCTGATGTGATTTCTGACTGTTGTAGCTGTGAAACTTCTCTAATCATTCAACTGAGTGATATGGGCTGTAATGCACTCAAAACCTGCCGGAACTACTTTAGCTGTGCCTTTATCTGACAGCCAAACACGTTAGAATGCTCAGCCAATCAGAATCAAGCATTCAGCAGACCTATAAACACTGCTGAATTTGAGTCGGATCTTGCCAGATCTTGTTCTGGAAAATGTCAGACATTCATCTTTTGCTTTCTGGTATTTATTTTAATGGATCTGGCATTAACTTGTGCGTGGTGAGCAGCGGAAAAACAATGGCTTAGTGGCCAATAGGGTTGGGCGATGTCGACCAATTTGGCATCGTACGATGTCTAATGTGAAACATCACGGTGGTGAATAATTATTTATTAATAATTAATTATTTCATAATGAATGAATTATTTGTAGCCTACTGTTTCAACTACCTGACCCCATGGTCTTTTTTTTACCCATAAACAAATCATAAATAAATAAAGATAAGTTGCACACAAATTAACACCTGTCAATCACTTTCCGCGGGAGGTTGGTCAGTAAAAAAGGTGCACAACCAACAGTGTCTGGGGTTTTCCCTAAAATTACTAAGTTCAAGTGACTGAAGCAGTGTACTGATGCTGTGACACGCTACCTGATAGATTCACAAGACAGAACAGTCGTCAGATAGAGACAAGGCTAATTAAATATCAAGTTTATGAACTATAGTGAGACTTGAAGATTCTTCTTGAAGATTAGACTGAGTTATTTCTTTTTTTACTTGGCACATAATAGTGAAGTGAACTGAACAGTGATTGTTCATATGACTTATGTTTGTAGCTACATGCTTTCATCATCCCCTGACTGGGCTATAATGGTTAAAGGCCGTTCAGAAATGTGACGCTTTTTTTGCGCAATCATCGTTCAATGACGTCTTGTTCCAAGAAAACTGAAATTGTGGAGGTGGATGTCGATCACGGTGACTTTCATTTCCTGGTTTTCTTCCAGAATTAATTAAACTATTATATTAATAAAGATGTCTTAAAATTACTCTAATTCCTATTTTAAAGAATTAATTTAATAGTGTAGAAAAAAAAAATCGAATTACTCACTTAAATATAAAAAAATACACAAATAAACGACTTTTCTGAATTGATTTTTGCAGAGCTGTTCTAATTTATTTACAGTATTTAAGAGGTAATAAACTACCACATTATTGTATTTTGTACTGTTCTCTGAAGGACACTTATAATGTTAAAGGTCATCATAAAACAATCTATTAGTACTTATACCTGTTTTCTGAGCTGTTTTGGACTTATCAGAAGCTGTTTGAGTGGGCGTGGCCAATTATAAACTCAGAAGTAAACGCCCACTGCTGTAATTGGCTGACTGTTTTGCATATTAACAGAGCTAAACAGGTCGTGCCTTAGAAGTGGTCATGGCTCTTCATCATATGGAGGCGGGGCTTATTCACCTTATGACATCATAGACTAGACGATTCCAGAAGCTGTGGTTTAGTCGGACTGTCTTCAACATGAGATGATTTAAGAGCAACCACAAAGTGTAGAGCTCTGAAACTCACAGCAGGATTGTATACCGCTATGAGCTCTGATATCTCAGAAGATGAAGAGAATTTTGATTTGTCAGTAAAAGACCGCTTTAAAGCATGTATATTATAGTGCCTATAAGTAAATGATCTAAAAACTAACAGATATACCTTATTTTAATTCACACACACTCCTTAATTCAGTTTATTTTAACACACACTCAGCAGGAAACACACACACCACTGCTCTTATGTCTCACACACACACCTGCGGAGGGTTTGATGAGCGGCACGATGACGTTCATGTTGTGTCGTGGCGAGGCTGAAGATGCAGAGGGAGACACAGGAACAGTTGGAGGATCCTGATCTCCATTCCTGACCGGCTCTGATGAACAGGAGGATGATGATGATGAAGACGAGGATGATGATGGAGGGATCTTCTTCTCCACATTGAGTGGCTTTGGCACAGCGTTCTCTGAAGCAGAAATAGAGCACATGGAAGAGGGTGATGCTAACAGCGTGTGTGTGATTGTGTATGTGTATATGTTTGCATGTGTTTGTGTGTGGTTGTGTATGTGTGATTATGTTTGTGACACTGAATGTCTGTGTGTGTGATTGTGTACGTCTTTGTATGTTTCCATGTGTGTGTGTCTGTGTGATTGTGTATGTTTGTGTGTGTGTACGTCTATGTGTTTGCGTGATGGTGTATGTGTCTGTCTGAGAGTATGTTTGCATGCGTGTGTGTGATTGTGTTTGTTTGCGTGTGTCTGTGCGATTGTGTATGCGTCTGTCTATTTGTGTTTGCATGTGTGTGTGTGTGTGTGTGATTGTATATGTGTCTATATGTTTGCATACATGTCTGTCTATGTGTATGTTTGCATGTGTGTGTGATTGTATACGTGTCTGTGTCTCTGTGTGTCTCTATGTATGTTTGTGTGTGACCGTGTGTGTTTCTGTCTGTGCGAACTTGACACTGTGTGTTTGTGTCTGTGTGTTTATGTATGTGACACTGTGTGTGATTGTGTGTCTATTTGTTTGTTTCTCGGTCTATGTGTACAGTTGTGTGTGTGTGTGTGTGTTTTTATGTGTTGGTGTCTTCATCTTGATGTTGATGCTGAAGCCATATATTGTGCAGTCCTAATATTGTGTGTGTTTTCTCACCTTTAAGAACCGATATATGGTTGCGTTTGACTCGGTTTCGTGCGTCTGCAGCCTCTGAGTCCTGCAGGTCCACTTTATCATAGCCGTACCAACCCAACAGCTCATTCATGGTGTTTTCAGCAAAGTTCTGCACAAACAAACCATGTTAAACCAAGATTCTATTTGACCATGAAGCTCCTTAAAGTTGATCATTTGCATGTGTGTCCTGTTTACTGCAGATTAAAGGCACAAGAAAGCATGTTTCTCTCTTTAAGAAAGATCAATATTAGAAAATAATAACATTAAAGATATATTAAATATTGTATTTATGTATATATACAGAATGAAGGCTATAGAGGGCTGTTTTACATCTGATTATTTCATTTGTGCCTAAATATTGTACAGCTAGACTCCATGAGAACCATTAAATATTCTTTATTTAATTTGTATGGACTGTGTTAATCAATGCAGGTTATTTATAACGTGTCAGTATTCATCAGATTGGTGCAATATACAGAGCTGCGGCGGTGCCAGTCATGTTTAATCATAAGCATGTGATCCTCTCGAAATTAGTTTATAAATAAACCATACACACGGTGTTCAGAGCTGAAAATTACAAACTTCTGAATGGTATTAATAATCTGATGGGTGTTTTAAGCTGAAAATGTACAGACACATTCTGAAGACACAAAAGACTGATCTTAAATCTTGAAAAAAGGGGTAAAATAGGTGCCCTTTAAATGTCACGCAGATGCACTGCCCTACAAAACCAACCCAATCCATCTAAAACTAATAACTATTTCTAAACAGAGGTGAAATTTTACACAATGTCGCAATTACTGAATGCATCTCAGAAAAACTAAATATCGCAATGCCATTTTATCCCCCAATATCATGCAGAACTAATATTAAACCATGTGGGATGATTGCGAAACATGAGCACATCCCTCATCATGTGTGGCTTTCATTTCATCTAAAATGTTATTCTGAAACCTGATCTGGCATCAAAAAACGCTCTGAATTTCCTGCAAAACAGCAGCTCATGAGCTCACGGGTCTCCAGAGCTTTGAGCCTGAGATTAGAGAAATCACGGACACTGAACACCGCCTTCCCAGAATCCCCGGATAATCAGATCTCGAGCTGCGTTCTCATTAGCAGGAGAGACGGCTTTCCCCTGCCTGCATTTCCAGCCCACAATCAATGCCGGTTTTGTTTCTTCTTGGCAGTTAAGACAAACATCTGTTGGGCGAGAGTGACGGGCCCGTCCCGAATCAGCCGCCAAAGCCAACAGACCTGCCGCGACCCCTGCCTCGCTCACACCGGCTATAGTTTCATCTGTTAGAGGAGTCCAAACCAAAGCTGGCTGGATTACTCATGAACTGAGATTAGTTACTGATTACATGACTAGATTTGTAATCAGTAATGTAATCTTTAAGATTAGACACATTTATCGTACTGTAATCTGACTACTTTTAGATTACATTTAGATTACTTTTCTGCTAATTTGGGGTCAGATATGTGTGGTATGGTAAAATGTGGTAGACATTTCTGGTATCGTAATCTGACTTCTGGATTACCAAACTACATATATCTGACATCAAATAAGTAGAATAGTAATCTAAATGTAACCCAAAAGGAGTCAGATTACGTTATCAAAAATGTCTACCATACATCTGATGTCATATAAGCTGAAAAATAATCTAAATGTAATCCAAAAAGTAGTCAGATTATGTAACCAAAAATGTTTATCATATCCTACCATACCATATCATACATATCTCACATCACATAAGTATAAAAGTAATTAAATGTAATCCAAAAGTAATCAGATTACGTTTATCACACTTAAATCTTCTAATTTAATGCCACATACGTATGGTATGGTAAAGTATGATAGCCATTTTAGGTAATGTAATCTGACTACTTTTGGATTACAATTAGATTACTTTGATACTTTATGTCAGATATGTATGGTATGGTAATCTAAATGTAATCCAAAGGTAGTCATATTACTTTACCAAACATGTCTATCATACTTTACATATATCAAATTAGCAGAAAAGTAATGTATTATAGGGTTAGGTTAGGGTTATACAATATAATAATCATTTTGCTAAAGTAATTGGACTACTTTTGGATTACATTTAGATTACCATACCATACACATCTGTAATTAAATAAGTAGAAAAGTAATCTAAATGTAATCCAAAATTAGTGTGATTTTGTTACCAAAAATATCTACCCATACCATACATATTTGCCATTAAATTAGCATAAAAATAAAACATGATTAGACATTACATTTGGTTACATTAACATTCTGACTACTTTTGGATTACATTTAGATTACTTTTCTACTCATTTAATGTCAAATATATATGGTAGCCTATGGTATGGTAAAGTATGATAGACATTTTTGGTAATATAATACTACTACTTTTTGATTACATTTAGACTACTTTTCTGCTAGTTTGATGATTGTTATGTATGGTAGCTTATGGTTTGGTAAAGTATGATTACATTTAGATTACCAAAGAATACACATCTTACATCAAATTAGCAGAATAGCAATTTAAATGTAATCAAAATGTAGTCCGATTACATCAATCATACTTTACTGTTCTGCTGATCTGTTGTCAGGTATGTATGGTAAAGAATGATATACATTTTTTGGTAATGTAATCTAACTACTTTTGGATTACATTTAGATCACTTTTATACTAATTTGATATCAGATATGTTTAGGTATGGTAATCTGAAGGTAATCCAAAGGTAGTCTGATTACTTTACCAAACATGTCAATCATACTTTACCATACCATACATAGCTGAAAAGTAATATACAATAATCATTTTTGGTAACATAATCTGACTACATTTGGATTACATTTAGATTACTATTCTGCTAATTTGAAGTCAGATACGTGTGGCAAAGTATGGAAGACATTTTCGGTAATGTAATCTGACTACTTTTGGATTACATTTAGATAACCATACATATCTGACTTTAAATAAGTATAAAAGTAATCTAAATGTAGTCAGATTGTTACTAAAAATGTCTACGGTACGGTATGTACCATACATGTCTGACATCAAATTAAAGCAGAAAAGTAAAGATGGATGTAATCTAAATACTTTGGGATTACATTTAGATTACTTTTCTGCTAATTTGATGTCAAATCTGTATGTTATGTTAAAGTTTTGCAGTCATTTTTTGGTAAAGTAATCGGATTACTACTTTTGGATTACATTTAAATTACTTCTCTGCTAATTTGATGTCAGATACTTATGATATGGTAAAGCATGTTAGATATTTTTGTAAAGTAATCTGATTGCTTTTCGGCTAATTTGATGTCAAATGTATAGTATGGCAGACATATTTGGTAATGTAAGATACTTTTGGATTATATTTAGATTACTTTTATACTAATTAGATGTCAGATTTGTTTGGTATGGTAAAGTATGGTAGACATTTTTGGTATAGTAATCTTATTACTTTTAAATTATATTTACATTACTTTTCTGCCATACTAATTACTGATTAACTAATTTAAAAAGTTTTTTTTTCATAGAATTTTTTTGTAATCTGATTACGCAATTCAGATTACATTATAATCCCTAACTACGCAGCTCTGGTCGTAACTCTACACCCCCAGCGGATTCGTGCTCTGAGATCCCACAAAAAGAGCGGTTTCAGATTTGCTGTCTCCAGAAACCCTGAGAATCAGAAGTGCGGTGTGGACGAGGCCATCCGTTTATAAACACAGCGTATCGAGTGTCTGGATCACATATCAAGCAGGACTTGTGAAACGGCTGCTTGAAGGCCAGCGATTTAATAAGGTCAGCGTGTCATTTGTCCATAGAAGGGCACATAAGAGTCCATCACTACACAGTGCACATCTGGAGCTCAGCTGGACGAGGGGATGTCTATAATAATAACAGTGCACTATCTAGACCAGCACTGTGGGTGTTATGTGATGTAAGCTGCTAAACTACAATGTTATCATGCAGCTGTTATCAAAAGGATTTTAATGCTATATGTTCCATGCAACGTTTAAAAATTACATTTATTGCTGTAATCTAAAACAGTTGGGCGATTGCATCACATTTAATGTAAAATGTTGCATGAAATATTAACTTTTTTTTTTTTACAATAAACACTGTTCAATTTTAAGAGGAAAATGTATTACTTTATAACAAATAAGAAGTTATATTTTTATGCTAAATTTATTAATAAAATATTTTAATAATATTGCATAATCTTAAAATAGGCTATTACAAAATAAATCCGTGTTTGGCATCAATATTATGTTTGTTTTAAATGATTTCACATTTGAAATAATACAAATATATTTATTTTAAGCTTGATATTACATATAAAAATGTATTGATCATTTTAATTTATGATCATGTTATATAAATACTTCAGAAAACATTCTTTAAAAAACATGATTTTGTTTATTTATTTAATATAATAGAAAATATTTATATTTTATAAAGCATCAGAAGTTCCCCCTGGGCTGGAAAAGCTCAGCAAATGTTATATATTTATTTCATTAGTCTCCAGCATGGGATGTTATGCATCAAATAAGCTTCTCAACTGACTTAACCAGCCTTCCTAAGTAAACTAACATTTTACCAACAAGAGTTTACAGCACCACAGCGGCCCACCAGAAAGTTCAGCACAAAAATCATGTTGTTTTCAATACAGAAGGAGTGTCATCAGTGTTGTGTGGACTGTAAAATTAACCCTAAATGAACTGTTTCCCATATTTTGTGATGGATGTTTTTCTTTTTTCCTATTTAGTAAAGCTTATTAATTCTATTATGCAACTTTGACCTTTCTTCCAACATCTTTTTTGAAAAAGTGACTTTTATGAACATGTGTAATAGTTTGCAATATTGCATTGTCTGGGTTTGTGTTGTATAGCACGCTATAAACCCTGCAATAAATTAGCAGTACATTCTCTGTTACTTTACACACTTATTTAGATATTATTTCTAATATATTTTATTGTTTCAAACTACTAAAATGTCAATAAGTCACTTTTTGAACTGTATAGCTGATCATTTCAACATCTAAACTCTACAGAGCAGATATCAACATCCTACAATGAAATTCACAACCGTAAATAAACGGAAAACACGT